AGGCTGGTTTCATCAAGTGGTGTGAAGGCCAACAGCCCATGCGCGCCCACCACCCATGCTATACTGTTCCCAGTCTAGCGCACGCCTAGTTCCACGCATCGCCACTGTCGCCGTCCAATGTGATGCGCTGCGCAACTCGCGAAGCTCCACACTGCTGCAGGTCACCGTCCAACTCGCGGGCCTCGACGACGGCGATCTCTGCCTTGCGATAACTTTAGGCCCAGCAGTGCGTTCATCGCAACAAGGACTGTCTGCATGTCGGCGCAGCCCAACAACTGTCGAGCGAAGAATGGGCGCGCGCGGTGTGGACGGCGCTGCGTGAGACCCCTCCACCGCCAGGCCTGCTCCGTGCCCAACACGCTATGCCCTCCCCATCGCGACGTGCGCCAGCGTCTCGTCGGCAGTGCCGCCAGTCGCTGTGCGAAACAGCGCCCGGTCGGCCAGCTGCGGACATCGGCTCGCCCGGGGTGTGCTGCTGTAGGCGCGCGCTGCCTCAGGTCCGAACGAGCAGGATGCCGCTGCTGCTGCACGCCCGCATGGAAGCGCCTGTCGAATGGCAGTGCATCATCATGACTAGGCTCCATGCAGCTAACTTGGTGCTGGCTGGTCTTAGCACGGCGCGCGTGGCAGTCACCGCTCTTTTGGTCTTCGTGCGCACCGTCGCACCCCGACCAGCCTCTGCGCACATCCAGATGGCAGCCGATGGCGACGACTGCCAGCCCCTTGAGTATGCAATCTTCTTCAAATCTGGGGAAATAGGATGCTCACCTCAGATTGCTGTGGGTGGGATGGTGCAGGTGAGATGGCATTTCTTGGACGTTTGATCTGCCGCCCTGAACCACGCACGAGGCTGCACTGCATCTTGCAAGGTGCTGCTGCGTTGAGGTGTGACATGTGCTCACAGCATTGCTGCACGTGGATCAACTCAGACGTGGCAAAGTCTACCGATGCCATTGAGTGTAGCGAGTCTGTAGAAATGTAGAAATGCCGAATTATAGAGACCACGTCTTAACAGGCGCTCTTCACAGCCACGAGATGCCAATCGGTTGAGCGTTTGCCTGTTAAGAGCAAGGTCCAGGAGTGTGGTGTCTTTTGAGTGTCCCTGAAAATGGTGGTTGAGTTCACTCCCGCTTTCCTTCCAACAGCTCGCGTGCTGAGCTCTTTCTGAGTTCAGCTTTGCCATGGAACCAGAAACTCTTCTGCCTAGCCGTTCCAGCTTCTTTCTCGTTGTTGAGCTGTCATATACAACACGGAGATCTCTCGGCACATACTTTCAACCATATCTGGAGTGGTGTCCGAGTGGTTATGGAGCTGCGTTTAGGCCTATCTAAGCATTCTCCGCAGTGGCTTTGCCTCGTGGGTTCGAATCCCACCCGCTTCAACGATTCTTTTGCTCCCGGAGAGCACACAGCTGAAGAAATCGTGTCAATTGGATCATTTTTGGTCGAGATATGGGGTGATGAAGTGAAAATGTAGTTGGTGAGTGTGAACCTCGCTTCCAGTCTGGGAATCTATTTTTAGCACTACTGCTATGAGATGCTCGCTCTTGCCTCCAACCATATCTCCTAGGTCGAATGACATCAGAGCATCTGCTGTTTACACATCCTACAGTACATTTCTACCTCAGATGAAGACCGAACCATTGAGGCTATCCTCGCTCGCCGAAATGACACGAGAGCCCTGTTTTGGCTATCGTCCGCTCAATTTCTGGCTCAAGTAGCGGAAGTTCAAGCGACCGACAACAACTGAAAATCGCACAATCTCTCGTCCGCAGGCAGCGGCAAGAGTCTGATTTCAGTCCTGCACTTTCTGTTAGCTGTACACTAATCCCATAGCTAACATGTCGGAGTACTTACAAGCCAGAACCATACGCCTGAAGAAACGAATTGGGCCAGGCAGCGGACGTAATACTAAGACGACTTGGTCAGCCCAAAAACTACCACAAGATCTCCGCTCAACTCACCGAACACAAAGCGGATCAATCGGTGACTTGCTGATATACCAGCGCTGCAGGCTGGCCTTGTCATCTGCTTTCGGATTGAGCACGCGAGACAACAATTTGTCATCACTGGCAACATGGTTCATCTCGAGTGCGCCTGTGTGGCAACGAAGTCAGCAACTTGCAGAAGCGAAACGACACAATCTACAAAAAGCACTCACCAATCTTTGTCCGTAACATCCAGCTATTAATGGCGAGCGGATCGTTCAAGCGAGGCAGGTTCTCACATTCGAGTGTCATGGTCTGATTCTCGTGACCGTGAAGCAGAGTATGATAGAGCCATGTCATGCCACCTGCTCCGCCAAAGTCGAGCACTTTACGCGTGCCTGCGTGCAGCAGCTGGATTCGCGAGCCATGCCATACGGGATGAAGCGCCAAGGTGTTGGTACGTGTCGTTCTGCTAATCGAAACGCCAATCTCGTTGTACTCGGCGCTGTATTGTTGGGTGTCTTGAGTTTTGATCGGACTGGTTCTCCATGCCCCTTCAGGCGCCACTTGATTTGCTTTGGGTATCACAGCCTTGGGCACAAGCAGTCGGAAGATTGCAGGGCTGAGGAAGACGTGCTTACGATCGGGATCGATGGCGACTTTGGGATCGAAAGTGACTGCATCAACCTCCCGCACGATCTTGATCATTTCGAAGCGGCAGTCCGTGTGCGCTTGATCCAGGCCATAAAGATCCGGTTCGTAGACTTTCACCTCGTTAGGTTCCAGAGGCTGTAGGAGTTTACGCTCCTCGGCTGCGAGTTCTCTTTGGTACTTGACCAGGGCATCATGGTCAGCTTCCGTCGGCTTCTTCTCCTGCATCGCAGTGAAGCTGGCGTTTCTCGTGTTGTAGCTCGTCTTGAGTTTGTCATAGCTGGATTTCAGACTTGTCCGATAGGTCGCTTGCGCGGCAGTCTCAGTCCCCTTCTCCAATTCGATCAACTTGTGTTCCAGATCCCAGCTCATCATTTGCAAGTCTTTCAAAATGGACTTGTACTCAAGATATGCTTCGAGAAGCGTGCTTGTATACACGCCAGCATTCTCATAGTCGAGAGGTGTTCCGCGAACCGTCTTCTCCTGGAAGCTTCGCAAAGCCGTGTATTTCGTGACGATGGCGCTGTGCTGATCAGTAGGGTGCTCACATTCTTCTGATCGTGATCAACTCACTAGGTCCTCTGCGGAGTCTGCGCGACTCGTGAGGGGAAGTTGAATGCAGCATCTTTCAGCGCATCGATAGTCCAGTCGGTGGCACTCTGGCCCTTGATATCCCCACCTCCCAACCAAGACACGCTGATTGTCCTCTCGCCTTGGACGCTCGATTCGTTGTTCTTCATTGCCACGCTGCCTTCGCCACTCACGTCGATAGCCCCGCCAGCGAATGGGGCATTGATCTTGAGCTCGGCTTGCAGGTCTCGGGCTTTCGAACGATCTTTGAGCTTGATAGATACAAGGCCGTTAAGCTCGCCGCCCTCGATGAAGCCAGAGATGAAGCTATCGCCATAGACTTCAGTGAACTGACTTGGCACAACGTTCTCGATTGGGATAAACTCGGTTACGTCGTCTGCGATCAACTTTGAGTTCATGACTTTTACCTGGACGAGGCAGTTGAGATCGCTGTCCTTGAATTTGTCAGTATCGCTTTAAGCTGGGTCAGTGGATATTCTCGTATTGAATCTGGTCAATGGTCTCACACGAAGCCTGTGCATGGTCAGTTGACAATAATGTATGGAAGCGAGGCAACATGTCATACTCGCTTTCGCCTGTCCGCCGGCGCCGATCGACTGCAGCTTGATCTCTAGAGAGCCTTGGATTTTGTGAGCTTTTGGAGAAACACATCACCAGTGCCCTCCACGAACCGCTAATGTTCAAAGAGCTCATGACGTCCGACACTTTGTCTACGTATTTCGAAGAGTATGTCTGAACGATTAGCCTGGACGTTTGAAGAAACCATAGGTTTTGCGACATACGACTTTCTGCGAGACGGTACTAAAGTCCTCTTTATTTTTGAGGTCATCCTCCGTGGCCTTGACACCTCCAGGCTTCTGGACCGCATCGTTGATACACAGTGCGTGTGTGTAAGTGTTGAATCTACATTTTGTCAACACTGTGAGGAGAGGTGAAGGAGTGAGCTGCACGCACCCCATGCCCAAGCGCATGGCATTTTCGTATGGAACCAGTATGCTCGTCATGGCGGGCGTATGGAAAGGTGATGATTGTGATCACAGAGGGAACAAAGGACAGCGAAAGTACTTGCACGGCCGCAGAGGACCCAGGCCTTCATGACGGACCTTGTGCAGCGCCGGGCGTGCTGTTAGACCGCATGCCAATGCGCCGGGCCATGCACTGCAGGCGGTGACCGGCGACGCCGTTCATCTTTCGAGCTGTTGGTGACTGCTTCAGCCAGCCACAACGACAGCGCGTGGAGGTGGAAGAGGATATGCGGAACTCTGTCCGTGCATGTAGAAGACGAGCTGGTGCGTCGATTACGGCAATTACGATCCCGGTCCTTGGCGTGTGTTGTGTTGCCCTCCCTTCACGCTCTGTGCTTCCGAAGGCAAGCATGCACGCACGCACATACCTGTCGCCAATGCCAGACACCATCCTCCGACATCCCAATGCCTCCGATGGCCTTCCAGTGCATGTGCCATGGCATAGTCGCGCCATGTTCCTGGGCTGCGGCTTCGATTCTCACACCTTGACATTCAAGCCGTCGTCTCCGTTCTCACACACCGAAGACATCGCCATCTTCCACGCGGACCAAGATGCGAGCGGAAGTTGCGTTCAGGCGTCAAGCAGCCAGAGCAGGCACTCTACCGAACACGTCGACTTGCGATTCCGAGGCTCGATTGGGAACGCCATTGTTGGCGGCTCCGCGCACGGCTCGTACACCAAGTCCGTCTCCGAGAATGGTGATGTGCGTGGACTGATCCTCATGACACGCAAGCTTGAGCTGAATGCGAAATAGTCAGCCAAACTGTCTACGCGTTCATCTCTGCGCATTGGCACCATTCGCATGAAACATGTGCCACAGCTTTCCTCAGAGGCCATCACCATGCTACAACGAGTCGGCGGCCACGACCATTTCCTGCATGCATACGGCGACTTCTACGTCGCAAGCATGCTTGTTGGCGCTGACAACGCGCTGTTTCTCTCCTACAATTCCCACGACTCCGCAAAGCTGGAGGATTTCAATGTCAAGATCGAAGGCCATCTGCTGGGAGTCGGAGTCGACAAAACTATCGCATCACTAGAGAAAGCTGCAGCTGCGGGATGCGACATTGCTCTCGAGGCGTTTGATTCACTATGGGACAAGACTGAGTCTCAGCAGTTCGCAGCCGCAACTTCACAACATCCACAATACGAAGGAATACGCGACTCTGCCATGCTATACGATGAGGCCGGTAAACTGCTGTCTGCGCGGCTTCGGCAGAAGACGGGTCTGAGCAATGCCGACCAGGAGTTGAATAGTCGCGACGTTGTGCGATTATCCACAGAAGGCACCATTGCTGAGATTGTCTTGTTGCCGATTCGCAATCTGAGGCAGTTTGCAGAACTACGAGCTGCTGTTGCTTAACTTGGTCGCAGTAATGTCAATATTCGGAAATGGTTAAAGCATAACGTGCACCGCACCCGTCTCAGCTGGAGTGGCGCGCGCTATGGCGCTGAATCGCGTCCAAAGATGGCTTGTCTTCCCCACTACCAAGACTGCACTCCCACGATACTGTACGAACTAGGAACGCGGCCGAAAATATGCAGGCGCCACTGCACATTGGGAGTGCTGAACCAGATTAATGTACTGGAAAGCCCGCGGAGTCGACCTCACTGTGAAGACACACTTACATTCCGGACCTTTCTCAGCATAACATGTCGTCCCTGGAGATCTACTCGATCACATCTCCACCAACCGACATTCCGCTATTCGAACATGTTGGCGACTTGCGAAGGTGTCACTTCACCACAAGTCCAGTCGAACATTTTGTACTCGGAAAAGCTCCACCAACACCCGTGGTACCGATAGCGTATCAAGGGCAGGCAAACGCACGTCTCAGCGTGACTATCCAGTATACGACACCGAAGACCGCTGCGCAGCGGCGTCTGCGTTGCAAGATCATCGGCGAGGGACGGGAGATCTCGGAAACCATTTCTTTCGAGACGACCAACTTACCCCAACAGACGCTCCCACCTCTCCAACTCAAGGCACCGATCGTTGGTGGCAAGGATAGAGGATTCCCGTGGAAGTTTGGGGGCACAGGCCGGCGATCTGCTACGGCCCGGGTCGAGGATGATTCTGGCATCGAGTTGTCATCCAGCACGTTCGAGATCGAAATTTATGTGCTGCACGCCAATCTCCCACCATACTACACACGTGATGGCATACCTCTGGACCTGCTGCGTTTTAATGCCTTCATCCCGAAATGGCTGAGTCCGCAGCAAGATTCTGACCGGGATCCGGATAGACCGCTCGATACTGATGACTGGGCAGCATGCGTGATCAAAGCCTTGTTTCGCGATCGTCGCCTGACATACAACGCATCCGGGGGCGGAGGAAAGTACATCAGTGAGGGTTCGCTGATGATGGAGTTATTTCTGTCCGATCTTGTGAGTAGGGTTCAAGATATCATCTTAAGCTAAGATTCTCACATCATGCTAGACAGGACTATCATATCGTCCTGACGATCGCACAAAATATGCAGTCAACTGCTACGACCTTGCCCGTCTGGCCGAGTCAATCATACCTTTGGGGACGGGTTACGGGACGGTGAAACCAGTGTTTTTAGAGCCATATGGGTAGGTCGCGATGTTGAGCTTGCAGTGTGCGTTCACTCCGACTGACCCTCATAGCTGGATGAAAACCACACGCCTGATCGGAGACCGATTGGAAACAAACAACCCATTCTATACTCAACCTAGGTGGCGCAAGAGCGATGGCACTGTACGACTGATATGTGATCAGAAGGATACAGAGGAGGGCAGACGTTCCGCCTTTGCAAACCACATGTTCCTGACCATAGACAAGTCGGGAGGCACATATGCCTTGGACAGGTCCGTAGGCGTGGTCGAAGCACACATGGTGACCATACTGACAAGTATTTTCAGCACTTGTGGTCCTGTGACGGGCGAAATGAGAGTTATCGACTACCCGAACAGATGCATCGCCCAAGACCCGTATATTCACGACATTTACAAGGGTACCAGGAGTAAGCAGGGTACTGTTATGGACATACGAACCAACACGCCCGTCTTGTCAGGTCTGATGCCGCGAGTCAGCCAATTCGCTGGAGCTCAAACAATATCTGATAATAACGAGAAGAGCCGCATGAAGCCACTTCAGGCAAAAATGGAGGAAAAATTTCCGCCGCCCAGGAACGCTCGCGGAGGCAAGAATCGTCTTTCCATCGGCACCTTGCAGCTACCAATAATCAGTACCATGCTCCTGCCAAGCTCTGCGCCTATGAAAAAAAGACCGGCGGACGTCCCCTGCACCTCCTGGACATTTCAGTACGATAATGGATCTCTGAGTGAACCGGTCTTGGTCATGATATACGTCTGGACGTATCCACGAGAAAAATATTCGACGGTGTCTACGATTACGCCTTTGAAACGTTTCACAGATGCATGGGTAGATCTGAGAGATCGCTATGGAGTCCATCCCATGGGTCAGTGGGATTCTGCGGCAACGTCTCAAGATGGTCTTGCCGTGCGACTCTTTGCCGACCCTCTTGCATGGGCTATAACAGCGATTGTCAGCCAAAGCCCTTCGACTGAGATATTGCAACTGGTTTGCAACAGAGTGGAGAGAGCCTTGAGAGTGCTGCGTAACGATGGTACAGACATAGTACTTCTCAAGGTCCCCATAAAGGAGACTTTGGAAAAGGCCACCATTGTCCTCCCGCCCTCTGCCCACGTGGGCGAGCAGTTCATCATGACTGTCGAGGCAAGTCCCCTGTTCATCTAAATCTCCAAAGTTTTGCGAACAAATCTTTAGCTAATTAATGTGATCCCCGCAGGCCGATTACCGGACTCCAGAATATGCCTGGTATGGCTACACGATCAGTATGTACAAGAACACCTGTCCACTCCTCATCATTGAGATGACTTTGCTAATCGACTGCTGCGTTGTTGTACAGACTCTGCTGGTGGGCACGTCGTTTTGGTGAATGCCCAAGACGACAAGAACAACCTCATCTTTACATTCGTGGCTCGAAGCGTAGGTCTCGATACGGTGAAATTAACCCTTTATGATCATGGTCTTGGCCCGTACCAGCGCACGATCAGTATAGGAATTGTTTAGAGAGGTTAACAGATGTAAACGACAGACACGCAGAGACGTTGTCGAAGATTTGAATAGATGTTGTTAAAAGTAGCTCATCTGTTGTGTCGTGCATTGTCTTGTACTGGCACTCAAGTCTTCTTCCTGAAGGTCCGCAATCTCGACCTCGGTGATACTTCATGTTCAGCTTTCGGTAGTATCGAAAGCTTTGTTGTTTCGAGCCATGCTAATCTCCATCTCATGATATGTACAGTTCATGGTCCAGCCTTCCGCTGCTGTCTCCCTCTCAAATGCCAAAGTATGTCTTCATCCTCTCGTAAACATAGAAGCTCGTTGCGACCATGGGTATCACCTTCACATATCCAATTCCAAGTCCCACAAAGAAGCCTTTGAAGCCCTTGTCTGCTTGTATGCTCCTCGCGACTTCAATCATCGTCAGTCGATGCCCGTCACCGACCACTCCTCCGACTTGCATTCGCCTTCGAATGACTTCAAGAGGGTATGACACTGTCTGGCTGACGAAACCTGCAAAGGCTCCCGTAGATAATTCTGCCCATGCTCGTAAAGGAGGAGGTTTCCCAGGTGCGAGCTGCCTTTCTGATCGTTCGTTACGCGGGAGGACTGTGTAGGGCGCGAGGGCTGGTATTCGCATGAAGTCACCTGCTGCATCATGTGTGAGGAAAGATGCCCCGGCGTAGGGGATCATGCCCCAGAGCGTGGGTGTGAATCCTCTGAAGAAGTTGCTCAGCCCACTCGCAGGCGTGGCCGTCCGTATCGCGGCCTGTGTTGCTTCTACTGTTGCTGCCACCGGTCTTGGCATTGTGGCGGTATTTGTGGGCACCGGCTCAGGCGGACGCTCTAGGTATATCTTTCTGCATATCTGCCGTACTGTGACGCGTTTGCTGGACTTCGTTTCAAAGGCGAGTCGCACGCGTATCACTTCCAGTGGGTACGTGCAGAAGACGGAACATATCCCAGCCAGACTGCCTGCCGCAAATCTTCGTTGTGGTGTCTCGTGCGCTTTTGTAGGTATTACCACTGCGCGTATTTGCTCATAGGCCAGGAACTTGATCCCGCCATAGGGGAAAATACGTAGAAGTGTTGCCGAGTGCCCTCTGAAGAGTCCTCCCACTCCGCTTGAAGCGTGGATATCTCGAATCGCCTTCGCAGCGCCACTCCACGACCCAATATACTTCTCGAATCTTGGATTGTTCGCCTGGAAGAGGATCTTAACGCGATCGAGAGGCGCTACGACCGTCTTCGCCGCGCATGCTGCCAGTCCACCTGCGACACCGGACCGTACAACATATTCCCAGCTTTGTTTTGGTATCTTTCGCTGCCCTTCGGGTGCTTGTCTCGGGATGATCGTTTCCTCGTCCGTCGGGCACACTCCTGGGACATTCGGTTTCATCGTATGTGGTTCGTGGGTCGACGGTGCTGTGACATGGCTGGCATGCTGCCCAGAGGCCAGTGTGGTCATCGATCAGCGTTTGGTGGTATGTTGTTTCGTCGTCGTGCTCGGGAGGTACAGTATATCAGGGCGATCGTGCTGGCGACATCGGACCAAACGCTATTTCCGGTGGCTGAGTTGGATTGTTTATGCCCGGTCCATGTCAGTAGGTTCGGTCGTCTTGCTGGGTGTGAGGTCCTGGCGAAGAAGAGACAGCTGGCGGAATGGTAGGTATGGGCACAAGAGGTCGCTGGCAATAGTGCAGTGCGATAACCGGACGGCAGTGCGGCAGACGACAATGACGATCTCAAAGCCGAAAGCTTGAACCGAGGCCGCGTGCGCGGAAGAGCCGCATCTCATCACCTGCATTTTGTCTCGGAAGCGACGCTGACATGTTGTTCCATTCCGGGCTTACATTACATCGCATTGATTGGTGCACAATACACGACATTGCCTCCCTAACCTTTGCCCACCAGCACACTGCAAACTACACTGTAAAGACAGCCCACTCGCGTCCATCGATTCTTCCCATCCACCCACTGATCTGGTCCTCCTTCATTCACGAGGCTGCCGCCTGCGGCCATCACTCTACATCGTCGAAGGCGATGGCACCAAGCGTGTTCAGCGCCAATAATGCCATGGCTACGTTTCTACGGGCTAGCGTGTAGAGCCGGGAAAGAGATGGAAGATGTTGGCGACTTATTCTGGGACTGATGACAACGAGGGAACTTGGGTCTTGTCCGCCAGGACTATCTACATTCCTGGACGCTTCTTGCTTCTGCCTGACATCGAGGTGCCCGTGAGGCTCGTGATACAACGCATGCCAAACGCAGTGCATACAACCTCTCTTGATTCGGGCCTTGGCCTCTGGCCTCAAGAATCCTGGTGTTGGACTTTCGCGTCGATGGGTGCCAATGATCGTCACGCTCTGGCGTTATTCGAGAAGCATTTCTGGATACCAACCTCTGCATATTCCCGCGACGATAAAATTGGCAACAGTCTTCTCAATCATAGGTCTCTGCGTCACGTCATTTCCCTCGCACTTCTCAGAAAGCGGTCCTGTTGGCATTGGCTGCAATATTGCGGCACAGACGCTAGGGTCAAGGTAGGTCAGACCTCTACTTCAATTCCCCGGAGCCAAGCGCGCTGGCCTGCTGCATACGGTAATAAGCGACCAAACCCCAAAGACTTTGGACGGCATGATCGTGATAGACTTTCGCACTCCAAGTGGTGCTCGCATTGGTTGTGCTCGTGGTTTGCCTATGCATTCATTGCGAATGTGCTACGCCTCTCCAGGCAAGCGATGGCCCGAAGGGCGTAGCACTCACTGAAGCGATAAAACAGGATCACATGCGTTGATAGGAAGCGCTTCGCTCTTGGTCACGGGTCATTGTGATCATGCATATTGATCCATCAGCTAAGGAAGTATGACCAGCATCTTGGCATGGGTGGTTATGGTCAAAGTTCTCCCTCGGTCTCTCTCTGGCAATTATCTCACCTCCAAGGCTCCAAACATTGTTCCGCCGGACTTTCAGACCTGACCTCCAGGAATCAGTCTTGATCAACCCTCTGGCCCGCAGTTCCCCACTCGCGATGCAGAATTTCCGAGGCTTAGTGCTGTGGTCGCTTCTCGTCTTTTCCCCCTACGGACAAGCACAGTCATCGAACCTGACAATCGCTTTTTCGCCAGCTATCAGTGAAAGCTGCGCATCATCGTCTAATGCGTCAGAAGTCGGAGCGGTGACATTCACTACTGCCGACGTTCCTATTTTGAATCATTGCTTCAATCTCGACGAAGTCTTCCGAGGCTCAGACAGCGGAAACAACACGTTCACGGTGCCCACAGGCTTCACAACGTCGGGCGATCCTTCCCTCGTACATTATGTCCTGTCGAACCAAGAAGCTTTCGACCCCGCGGCAAACTACAGTCATGTCTATTATCAGCAAAGCTTTCCGGTGTCGCGCTCACAAGGCAGTGAAGAGGACGATCTGCCAGACAACACGGCAGCTCGGCTATTCCAGCTGTACTCTGGGCAGAACTGCGAAAACGCCATCGAGATTTCCGCTTCTGAAGGACAGAACACCCGGCCGTGGTATGCATATAGCTGCGTCAGCGATGGTCAATGCAACGTCGCTGCGTTCAGCGTGAAGAGCTTCTTGGTGGGTGATGCTACCACAAGATTGAATCTAGGTTGGGGAGACAAATGTCGAGACTTTGTGTATTCAGGGGATGGAGCGAGATTGAGAGGAAAGGTTGGATGGGCAGGCGCTACGGTGATCGTGGTGTTGACGTGGTGGATGTAGAGCACGTCGTGACCTGGAGAAGGACGTGAAATGTAGATAACAAAGTCAATAACTCTGCATAATCACCATCCAGCTGCCAATTTTGTCTGGGAGCGAATTCCTTCCTCTTGCCTTCCCAACCCAGTACGCCTCACATCAGCAAGCACGACCGCACCATGGCAGGAGGGTGCGTTGACTTGCAGTGTCCCAATCAGTACATGTGTCTCTTGCATAATGGCGTCTGACATTCTCTGGCAGAATGCTGAGAACACCATTATCCTGATTGATATCCCGCGATCAATTGCAGCAGCGCAAAGCACGAAAGAGGGGCCTTGCACGGATTTCATGCTGTCAGTGGTAGCGTTGGAGACGCCTTTCCCGGCTCAGAAATGCAACAATACAAGAACTGTCAAAAGCCTTGCAAACAGCGCCGCGGACGATTTTCTACACCAAGAATACCATACTTTGCTCCAGCGAGCTCTAGACGAGGTTCGGTCTTGCCACAAAGATGGTTGGTGCCAAGAGCGGCCTTTCATCTCGTCCAGAGGTGTGCGCAATGCTAAGCGCAAGGCAAGTGATGTCCTCGCGGATAATCGGAGCAGCGAATTGCCCACAAATATTCTCCGGAACATAACACAGCCATGTCTCACACCTCCGGACGTCCGCTTTGGGAGAGAGGAAGGCATCGAAGACGGCGAATACGAGCCTGGGTCCCATCTATGGAACTACAGCAGAAACGCTGGCACGATGATTTTGACGCATCATGATTTGAACACTGCCAGTTCCACAGACTATGGGTTCCGCATACCAGCGGATGCGACTTTCTTTTTGGCAAATTGTTCAAATACTGAAGTGTTCCACGACATAGTCGAGCAGCGAAAGCTCAAGTTCGACTTCATTCTCCTGGATCCACCTTGGCCGAATCGTTCAGTGAAGCGGACACACAAGACTCCAGGAACTTCATATGCAACGATTTCGACTTTGCAAGATATTTCAAATTTACTGTTGAACATGAATCTATCACAATTACTTTCGGAAACAGGTTATGTGGGCGTTTGGATCACGAATAAAGCTGCCATACGGGCCTTGGTACTTGGTCCTGGAGGTCTGTTTGAGCATTGGGGTGTTGATTTATGTGAAGAATGGATTTGGTTGAAGACTACAGTACATGGAGAGCCTGTCACGCCACTTGAAGGTATGTGGAATGGAAAGAAGCCTTATGAGGTTCTTCTCGTTGGCAAGAAGAAAGTCACAGGTACGGCAGAGGCTGGAAATATCACGCGCAGAGTCATGATAGCTGTGCCAGACTTGCATTCGAGGAAACCATGCTTGAAGAAGATGATCGAGACATTGGTCGGGACGAACGGAAATGTCCTAGAAGTCTTTGCCAGACATCTCGTCACTGGTTGGTGGAGCTGGGGCGACGAATGCTTCAAATTCAATTGGCAGGGGTATTGGCAGGGCGCGGAAGAGTGCAAGAGACCATGACAGAACAATGACATGAAGTCTATCGTGATAGGGCAAGCACGACAACCAATGAGTCCCGGCCTGATCTGAAACTCTGAACAGGACATCCTCGACTTTGCACTCATCTCACTTTTGACAGTACGAGCACCACTGTTCTCCCGAAACATTAAACTCGGCCCGATCGACATCGGCATCACCAGCAGCACCGGCCGAGAGCAAGGCCCGCCACTTCTCCGACCAGGGTGTCCCAGAAAGCGGAAACAGATCCGCAAAGCTAGAACACGGGGGTCTCGCGAGAGAACCAACACCGCTAGCATCTCCCTCCCTCCAAATCCAAGCTTCCTTATCGGGACCAGTCACAACGCCAGAATGTATCGGAGCGGTGTCCTAAAGCACTGACGACAAGTTCCCAGATACCAGGATAGCATCACCATTACCGAGCAGTCCCAGGAATCATCATGATGTTGTCTCCGGCAATTCCAGAAGTTTGATAACGCTCGTTTGAATCTTGTAGGCTTATAGAGCTTTGAGCTCACGATGAGCCTTGTCGTTGTCGTGTGACTGGAATGCCACATTCGGATGTAAAGTGTCCAATGGGCTGTTCAGCCGGGGAGTTATGTCGGGGAGGAGTGAGATGTGGCTTGGGTAGGTGAAGGACAATGGAGACTTCAGCCCGTACTCATCAGCAGACAATTGCGCGTCCTTCCCCTCTTTCACCTCTCTCGCAGCCACGTCAACTAAACATGCCGATCACACATACAATTCCACCACCGCCAAATCCGCAATACCTCTATCGCGTCACGGATAGCACATCACATATTCGAGCCAATTCATCTTCGGGAGATTTCGACACGGGAACTCATACGGGAGCTTCTTGGGAGGATATCATTTCTACCGCGACACTTGACCGACACTTCACCTCACCAAGCGAACAATTCTTACTTTCATCATCATCTTCTTTATCATCCTCCTCATCCAACACTTCAGAAGAACATACCGAAGAATATGGAGCCCCATCCCGGCCCTTGCTGATATCAACAACCACATCATCCACCTGGGCCTCCTCAGAACATCGCAGAAGACTATACAAAAAACGCCGAAGTGATGTCCGGACGTACAAAATCGATCTGAGTAAATTTGAATGGGAATATGTGGAAGTTGCTGGAGTGAGCGGCAACGATGGCAGAAGCATTGCAGGGGAAGCCGAGAAGATCAGATTCCCAATCCTGAGATCACCGGGTTGGGAGTGTGTGGTTTTCTCGACGGATTGTGCGACGCAAGGGTTGGATTGGTGGAATCATCGGAGAGATAGTGAGGAGTGGTTCGCGGTCGTTTGTATTCCGAGGAAATTCGTTGAGTTGTTGGAGGTTGATGGAGTAGATGTTGGCCGGAAAGGGAGGAGGTGAGAGATGCAAGTCGTGATGATGTTGGTGAAAGTCGATCGAGCACTCTTCTTACTAGATGGTTTCGCTCGACATCATGCGAATTCGAGTGAGCGATGACTGCAAGTTTGTGGGCGTTGGAACGTCGATCGAAGTAGCGAGAGGCTACAGTTTGTCAAAGGCACAGGATTTGGTCAGCTGTGGAAAGTGTAGGCATGCAAGCCATGACACAAGAGAGAAAAAAAAAGGTAATGTCTTGACAAGAGTCCAATGTCTTGTATTACATCGAGGGCAAGTCATATGCCAGCAAGCATTTCTTATGCTCATGCTCGAGTGAAGCTATCATCTACACATCTAATCGTAAAGCGCTGGTGTCGAGCGCAGAAGGCAGCCCAATGCCCTATTTCCTTACGCCAATGCTGAATTGTAGTAAAGTGCTGTTGGAAGTGGGTCCGTGAACAATCTAGTTCGCAGCAGCTGGACCGAAGTTGCCCTTCTTCTTGAGCTCGGCCTCCTCTTCCTCCTTGAGTTCTTGGTCAATCTTAGCGCCCTTTGATGGCTCGTTGCCGTGGTTGATGGCCTGGTAGGAAGAGATTGTGTTAGTATTGGCGTGCTTTAGTGAAGCAGCCGTGTACGTGTTGACTTACTGGCTTCGTTGAATCAATCTTGCTCTCCAGAGTCTCCTGGTCCTTCTCACCCTCTGACTCCTTCTCCTTCTTCTCCTCGTTCGCTAGGCGGTTGGCGATGGAGCGCTCATCCTTTGGGTCGTTTGGCTTGTGCGAGTTCTCCTTGCCCTCGTTGTAGCGGTCGGCCTCGCGAAGCTCAGAGTCCTTGTAGTTTCTCTGAGGAAAAGAGTCAGTCACCTAGTCTCATGAAGGAGGGGTGGTGGGGTAATGCGTACCTGGTCGCCAGCCTCGTATGTGCGGCGGTCACCAACGTTGGATTGAGAAGACATTGTGATGTGTGGTGATCGAGGAGATGCGATATGTGTTGGAAGAAGCTTTCCACGTTCGAATTCGTGGTGTGTGAGCAAAGATGCAGAGCAGTGGAATGGAGCACGAGACTGCTATTAAAACCGTGGAACTTTCACTTGGAGGTGACATCACAATTTGTCGTCATGATCCACAGAAATGGCTTGGATGTTCAGGAACGCCCGCTGAGCACGGCTTGCACTGGTGGAGTCGACTGCATCACAGCACGACAAGTTCATCGTGAAATGTCGTTTCAACAGATGGATGCCATGCCGACTATGACATCTTGGGCACCGGCCGGGGCAGAAGACCATGTTTACGAGCGACTGATCGTGACCTGAAGGCGCACGGCCGGCCCCGTGGACGTCGAATATCTTATATCGTTTGAGGCGCAATTCTTATGGCCAGGCTGACTTGTGCATCGAAAAAGTGGTCTCTCCGCGATACAGGAACATGTGAAGCTGAAGAGGAAATCTTGGCGTGTGCAGCGTGCGTACCAGTGAGCGTACGTACAAGAAGAGAGTGCGTACATGCGAACGTCAGTTAGCGCCGGCTGCCGCCGATTGGCTTATGAGAACTGCCTGTCCGTCAACGCCTAGTTAGTCTCATAGCCACCAGAATACAGTACACAAATCATCAATCTTGCAAAGGCCGTACCTCGGTATTGAGAGGGACTGCAGATACATCTGATCAAACCAAAATTCATTCCTGGGGTATCATTGGATCGTAGCCTTGTCCTTCGGTCTATGTATCCTTGCTCTAATGCATCATATTTTCATCGCCCAAACGCCTCGCTAGGTTCTTTACCAGGTCAATGTACCATCTTTCCCTACTCCAGTTCGATCGTAGCAGGAGGCTTGCTGGTCGTCTCATACACCACTCTCGCCACGCCTTGCACCTCATTGGCAATGCGATCGCTGACGCTCGCGAACCAGTCCATCGGCGCCCCCGTGAAGACGTTGGCGGTCATGAAATCGGTGGTTTGCACGGCCCGCAAATGAACAATCTCGCCATGCAATCTCTGATCACCAACCACAGCCACGGACTTGACGCCAAGAACTGCAGCGTACGCTTGGGAGATCTCCCGGTAAAAGCCAGCCTTCCTGATCTCCTCAATCCAGATCTTGTCCGCCTCTTGAGCGATGCGAATTCGGTCAGGAGTGACTTCACCAATGATGCGAATTGCGAGGCCAGGACCAGGGAAGGGGTGTCGCCAGACTAGATTCTCTGGAATACCGAGTTCGGTACCAAGAGCGCGGACCTCGTCCTTGAACAATTCGCGAAGAGGCTCGATGAGCTTGAGGTCCATCTTCTCGGGAAGACCGCCGACGTTGTGGTGCGTCTTGATCGTGGCACTAGGTCCCTTGAACGAAATGGATTCGATGACGTCCGGGTACAGAGTGCCTTGCAGAAACCATTCGACTTTGCCAGCACGTTCGGTGTTCTCAGCGGCAGCGGCAATCTTCTTCGCTTCCTCCTGAAAGATCTCGATGAACTCGTTGCCAATAATCTTGCGCTTCCTCTCTGGGTCTGAGACGCCGGAGAGCTTTCCGAGGAAACGATCCTTGGCGTCGATGACTGTTAAGTTGACCTTGAGACCTTCCTTGAGAGTCGCTTCGACCTCGTTGGCCTCATTCAAGCGCAGACAGCCGTTGTCAACCATGACTGCGTGAAAGCGATCACCGATCGCAGTCTGCATCAGTTTCGCGGCTACAGTAGAGTCGACGCCTCCACTGACAGCACCGATGACCTGCTGCTTGTCTCCGACCAGGGTCCTGATTCGGGCAACCTCTTGATCCACGAATGCGCCCATTGTCCAATTCGTCTGCGCTTTGCAGATTCCAACAGCAAAGTTCTTGATCAATGTAATGCCCTTGGGCGTGTGCGACACTTCTGGATGGAATTGAATCCCATAGAGGTGTTTTGTGTCGTGTGCAATGCCGGCGAATGGTGCATTGGCAGTGCTGGCAATTGTGTGGAAATTGTCGGGCAGCTTCGACACTTTGTCGCCGTGCGACATCCAAACCACCTCATTCTCTAGCCCTTCGAACAGTTGATCGATGTGGGAGTTCTTGTCTGCATGCTTCTGCAACTGTAGGGTGGCCTTGCCGTATTCTCTCTTTTCACCTGCAGCAACGCCCTTTCCAAAGTGCCAGGCGAGCTCCTGCAGGCCATAACAGATGCCGAGAATGGGAACGTCAAGATCAAAGATGGCGTCGTCAACGTGTGGAGCGTCAGGAGCGTAGACAGAGTATGGCCCGCCAGAGAGGATGATGCCTTTTGGCTTGAAGTCGAGGTCTTTCAACTTTTGCGTGCACGGCAGCATTTCTGAGTAGACATTGAGCTCTCTAAGCCGACGCGTGATGAGATGCGTGTATTGCGACCCGAAGTCAAGCACGAGGATGGTGTCGAAGGTTTTGTGAGGAGCCGCAGGTAGGTCGCCATTGGTGACGCCGTTGGTCGTGGCCATGTTGGCTGAAATTGTATTTATTAGGAATTTGGTAGGATGAGTGAGTGTTGGTTGTATTGACTCCGATTCGCAAGAAATTCTTCCACCGCGACGTGCATCGAGGGGCCCGATAAGGGACCTCGCTTGTGATAGCCAGAAGTCGTGGTCACAGATCTCACGTCCGTGTCACTTCATCGCGTACTCCAACACGCGGACGCATCAGGCGCCGACATGACCGCCATCAGACACCAACACACGGAGATCTGCAGTTGCACATACTGAGATTTGTTTGCGACCTTGGTTTGCCGCGTCTCGTCTTGTCATCCAGAACCAACATGTCTGGCAGTCGCTTTCAGCAAGAACCACGACACTTCCTACGGCACTCGGCGGTGCGAGAGCCTTAAAGCATGGGACAAGGAAACTCATCGATCACGCTGCCGGCGGGGCCCAGTGTCATAGAGACATCGGAATCATCCGACTTGACCTTTGAGAAGCCGCTAGGAGGGCCGCGCTTCCTCCGCACTGTCCGCGCCCGACATCACACGGGTGTGGTTGTCGTGAAGGTGTGCAACAAGGTCGATTCCAAAGTCTCGTTCGCCAAGTATGCCAAAGCCCTGAAGCAAGAACGAAAGCTATTGAGGGATATCCCCAATGTCCTGTCCTATGCCAGGATCCGAGAGACGAACACCATCGGTGTACTAGTCCGCCAATTCATCCACACGTCGCTCTACGATCGCGTCAGCATTCGCCCTTTCTTGGAAGAGGTCGAGAAGAAATGGATCGCTTATCAGCTGTTGTGCGCCGTCAAAGACTGCCACGATCGGGGAGTCTATCATGGCGACATCAAGTCCGAGAACGTGCTGGTAACGTCTTGGGGATGGGTCTACTTGACCGACTTCGCGTCAGCTTTCAAGCCCGTCTATCTGCCCGAGGACAACCCTGCGGACTTCACATTCTACTACGACACCTCGGGACGTCGTATATGCAATCTTGCACCGGAACGCTTCTTCATGCCTGGTCAGCGGCCACAAGACGACGATGTGGTACAGTGGAACATGGACGTCTTCAGCCTTGGCTGTGTTTTGGCTGAACTCTTCACTGAATCCTCAACTTTCACTCTCACTCAGATGTACAGGTACAAGCGAGGTGAATACGACCCGACCGTATCATTGCTCAGCAAGATAGACGACGATCAAGTGCGTGCCATGATCACTAGCATGATCAAGCTAGATCCGTCCGATCGTTGGCATGCGGATGACTACCTCGAGGAGTACAAGGGAAAGGTGTTTCCGTTGTATTTCTACAACCACTTTCACACCTTGATGCGAGAAATCACAAATCCTGGCTTTGGGCACAAGCCGATACCCTCCGACGATTTCAACAATGGTGAAGCTGATGCGCGGATCGACAAGATCTATGAAGATTTCGAGATGCTATCAGTGTCACTCGGATATGGCAATGCCACACTGCCGGAACTTGTGGCGCCGCAAGCTTCCTATCTTCGCGGCCTTTTCCCTCTTCAGGTCGATTTGCCAAACAGCCGCCACACCGCTCACGCAGCTGATATGGAAGAAGGAGACAACGGTACGTTCATCTTGCTGAATGTGATAACGGCCTCAATGCGGAGCTCGGCTCGAGCAGCCTCAAAAATGCGAGCTTGTGAGCTCCTGCTGGCGTTCGCCGAGCACGTGCCTGATGAAGCCAAGCTGGATAGGATCTTGCCATACCTGATGCCTTTACTGGACGATTTCAGCGAGATGGTTCAAGTTGCTGGCCTCCGGACGATGACGCAACTTCTGGCCCTGGTCAGAGTAGTCGCCCCTATCAACTCTTCTCTCTTTACACAATACATCTTTCCCAGATTGCAGATGTTCGTAAAGAGCAATGGCTTCTTACATACTCCGCTGGTTCGAGCGACATACGCAGCTTGCCTTGCAAGCCTTGCTGAAACCGCTTCGCGCTTTCTGGATGTCACGCAAGCGCTAAGAGTAGGAGGCTCACTTTCTTCAACCGAGAGAGACGACATGGGCGCAGATTCTGTCACTAGCGCGGATGCGTACGACACAGCACGCACGGCTCTGCAGGAGCAATTCGAAGCCCAGACCAAAGTCTTTCTCACAGACACAGACAACTCAGTTCGACGAGCATTTTTGACATCTGTTCCGAGTCTATGCGTGTTCTTCGGTGAAGCCAGATCCGCCGATGTCATCCTGAGTCATCTGAATACCTACTTGAACGACCAAGACTGGCTGCTCAAATGCGCCTTCTTCAAAACCATAGTCGGCATTGCAGTGTACATTGGCAGTGCCAACGTGGAAAACTTTGTGCTGCCACTCATGCTTCAAGCCTTGACTGATCCGCAGGAGTTTGTCGTTGAGCAGGCGCTCCGGTCTTTGGCAACCATGGCCGAGGTCGGCTTATTGCAACGTGCAAAGACTTGGGAGCTTATGGACACTGTTGCCCGCTTCGAGATGCATCCGAATATCTGGATCAAGGAAGCGGCTTCGCACTTTGTTGCAGCAGCGACAACCTACTTATCGCTGGCTGACATACGAATCCTTGTTGCGCCATTGATTCAGCCATACTTGAAGGTACCCGTGGGAACGCTTTCAGAATCAGAATTGCTGGATGCTCTGAAGAAGCCTATCCCGAGGACTGTACTTGACCTTGCTGCACAGTGGGCAGGCAAAGTTGACAAAAGCTTGTTCTGGAAGACCGCAAGAGACTCGAAGCAACTTTCGTACGCCGCGACAGGTCAAATGCCGCCGCAATCCTCAGTGGCCGAGCTTGGTCCGAAGGCACTAGCAAAAATACCCAAGACCGATGAGGACGAACAATGGCTAGGGCGGCTGCGTAATGCTGGAATGAGGAGCGAGGATGAGATGAAAATTCTGGCATTCCGCGAGTATTTGTGGAGGTCTGCTCAACGCGTCAAACGAGGCGACTCGGACGAGAAGGACAGCATATACGACCAACTCATCAGCTTGTCTAAACTCGGAGTTCAGCCTCGGACCGTCATATTTGACACAGACCTCAAGGCGTATGAGCAAAAAGTTGAGAAACAGAATCGAACGATCGCCGAAGCTATAGAAGAGGCATCCAAAGCCGAAGGCAAGCAAGTGGCAGCGCCGGAGAGCAGTTCTGTTGAGGACAGTAGGACAGATGCTCAAACACAGGCTCCTGTGTCGATACCTGAGGCCACCCGTCGCCTATCCGGATTGAAGCACAATCAGTCAGGCAGTCTTTCGTCTTCTCCAAATTCTGGAATCGGCCTACTAGGCAACGTGGACCATGCTTTACGACAAAAGGGCAATGCGGCTGGCCTTCTTGGCGCTGCAGGGAAAGCTCAACCTGCGGTGGCAACGAATGATACGACGGCGCATGGGAAGTTAGACCGACCGCAGTCGTCAAGTCGTCGGGCTTCACCTGTGCCAGAGGTCTCAGAGAGACGGAAAGCGTTGGAGAGAACAGCGAGTCAGCGGCTAGGCCACACCTACACTGGAAGCGACCCAACAGTCTTGAAACTCCTCGATGCCGTCTACGTGGACAACTTCCCTATCGATGCGGCAGACTTCGGTCCCTTTGTGCAACCCGCCAACGGCGTGATTCCGATGAACGCAAATCACCCAAGCCCTGGGCCATGGAGGCCGCAGGGCAGATTGGTGGCGGTGCTTGGCGAGCACACTGCGAAAGTGACACACATTGCTGTTGCACCAGATCACGTCTTCTTCTTGACTGCGTCAGAAGACGGATCAATCAGAGTTTGGGATACCTCGCGACTGGAACGAAATGTAACCTATCGCTCACGGCAGTCCTACAGGCTCGGGCCTGGCGTGACTGTTACCAGTCTCTGTTTTGTCGACGCGACGCACTCTTTCGTCTGCGCTGGCTCTGACGGCTCAGTGCACGTCGTGAGAGTGGACGTCCACGAGTCACAAGACAAGTCAACTCGCTATGGCAAACTTCGCATCATCAGAGAGTGGCATGTGCCAACGACAAACGCGGCCGGAGAGCATGCAGTCTTCTCCGAGCACTTTCGAGGCGAGTCGGCAAGCACATTAGTACTTGCTACAAACCTGGGGCGCATATTGGCTATCGACTTGCGATACATGTCTATCATCTTCGATTTGCAAAATCCGCCACATCATGGGACGCCAACCTCTTTCTGCATGGGCCGCAAACATGACTGGCTGATCGTGGGCACGTCCTTGGGAGTGTTAGATCTCTGGGACATACGATTCCATTGCAGGCTGCGATCATGGACCTTCCCCAATGCAACGCCCATAACTCGCTTGCAGCTACATCCCAGCCGGCGATCCTCAAAACGTAATAGGTTCTGTGTGACAGGAGGGACAGGTCCTGGCGAGATCACCGTTTGGGACGCGGAGAAGGGCATATGTCTGGAAGTGATTCGACCCTCATTTCCTGGTGGAGAGGAACGAAACAACATACGAGACTACGAGCTCAAGAATGTGGAGGACGAGCGCGATGGCCTGCTCGGTCGGATCGCAGCAGAGAGCAGCACGAAAGCTGTTCATCATACTGTTTCGTTCTTTGGAGCGCAGCCTTCTGTCAAGGATCCGGATGTCCAGCATTCCTATGCGATCACCGGCGGGCCCGACGGCAAGGTTCGATTCTGGGATACTGATCGCCTAGAAGGCTGTCGTCTCGTCTGCGGCGCTTCCTCCCCTGACGAGAAGCCTGTCTACACTTTCAGTCAGCTGAGCATGGATTGTCGCCTCTTATCTGAGAAGCCACCCGATGCCACTGTGAGCGCCAGCGTGGTCAACTCACCTTCAGGGAAGAAGATTGCTGGATCTTCGGCGAACAAGGCTGCCGGCAGATACGAGACGATTCGATTGGCGAGTCAGAATCTGATGAGAGGGCATTTGGATCTGATCACGGATGTGAAGATGCTGGAGAGGCCGTTTGGAATGGTGATTAGTGCAGACCGGAGCGGCATGGTTTGCGTGTGGCAGTGAGTGAATGAGGAGATGAGACAACCCGTTATGAGTTGCGCGCCTTAGCGGCTCTCCGTTACAATTCTGATTCTTCGCCTCTCAGTTAGGCTCTAAGGATACCCTTGCCTATACCGCAATGAATGACACTAGTCTCTCTTGCCAGATATTGACCTAAGCACGATAAGTCTACTCCACCTTTGCTGCCTCGCTGTATCATTCCACAAACCAGTAAAGGCGTCTTCTATGTTCTTGTCATGTCGGAGTTTCTGTGCCATCGCGTATATAACATGTCGCACTTTTAAACCAATGCGATACGTGCAGAACCTGGCACTCGAATGGACAAGTTGTTGGAAGACATCGAAGAAGCTGACGATACAACACGTCTTGTTGGTTCATACACTATGCTACACACTAATAGTTCAGACTGAACTTGGTTCAGCGACTGCCTCCTCGCCTACTATGCACAAAAGCCATCGTTCATGGCACGCCCAAAAAAGCCCAAAAATTTTCCACATCAAGACATTACATTTCTTCGAAGCTGAAAGTAGAAAGGTTTGTCAGGCATGTTTTGCCTTCGAGAAACGAATCACTTCGGCTCTTCCGCAGCCGGGCTCACGTTGGAGCTCTTAGATGCTGTTCGCCGCTGCCAGAACCAGCCGCCAGGTGTAGGGGCGTCGGGCTTCTTGGCTACGTGAAGTTCGTCGGACTTCTCGTCAGACGGTGTTGTGCTCGCGGGCGTGTTCTTTCCGGACGACGCCACGCTCGCTAGAGGGTTGCTAAAAGGCGTCGTTGGCAACGAGAATATCTGCGTGGCGGCAGCGAGCGTAGATGTGCCTGTGGCATCCTGCTCGCCAGCTTTGCTAGCTGCATCAGCTTTGTCGGCTGCGAGTTTGGCTTCCGCCTTTACGGCATCAATTTCCGCTTGCATACGGGCCATCATCTCTTCTTGCTTTCGCTTCGAGACAGAGAGTGCTTTCTTGACTTCGTCGAGCTCTTGTAATGCCTGTGCCTCAGCAGTTTTCGCATTCACCAGCTCGACCAGCAGCGCTTCTTCCGGCACAGCCTCGTGTTGCTTCGTTGCAAAGATGTCTTGCGTAGCAAGTGACGATGTTCGTTTCGAGAAGCCTCGTCGGGCGGTCGGTGCACTCAGCTGTTCGCCAGCAGATGCATCTGTAGCAGGAGAGATCAGGTCCGAAGGCGAAACACCGGTTGAGCCTTCTGGAGATGCGAACTCCGTTCGCAAAGTCGGAGCAGCGAGGTCTGTTGCGATTGGCGACGTGTTGCGCAGGATTGAATGTCGCACGCTCTGCACAGATGAGCTGGATTCGCGTCGGCCGAGCTTCAGCTCCCGCAGTCCACCGGGCACGCTGTGGGAGCTGGCAGTCCTGCTGCGAACGTCGGAAGAATTGCCCAGCGTCGGTACTTGCTGCAAGCTCTCTGCCCTCACCATTCGTTCTTTACGTTCGATGGATCGCGCTTGAGCGCTGAGCTCGCTGATTTTGTGTTCGAGTTTCTGCCGCGACTTGAACTCATCAGCCACCCTGATCCTCAACTCCTTCACCTCCGCTCGCAAATCGTCGCTCTCGTCCTGTACGGCGGAAATCGCAGTCTGCGATGCTTCGAGCCGCAAGGCAAGATCTTGTGCTTGCGCTTCAGCTGCGGCTAATTGCTCGCGAGTCCGGGCAAGCGTGCTTCGCAGGTGGGCTTTGGTTTCTAGGCCCACAGAAAACCGGACATTGGTCTGCAGTCGCTCTTGTGCTTGTTGAACAAGATCCTCCATCTCGTCTTTTTCTGGTGTTGCGCTGTCGACACCTTCTATTTGCACTTCGGTCCAGTCTCCGACGCTCAGCGGCCGACTGTTAGGTAGTGGCACTTCCAGTGGAGATAGCTTCTTGGGTGGAGGCGGCATTGTTCTTCTCCGATCTTCCTTGTCCTTGCGAAGTTTGGTGACCATCTGCCTCATTATTCTGTGATCCTCACTCCGATCCTCCCGCTCCTTCTGCAGCATAGCCGCGAGCTGTGCTTGTTCGCGTTGCATCTCGCCCATGGCCAAAAGGAGATCCTCGATCTGGGCCTGCAAGTCACGCTGCTGTGAGACCAACATAGATGAGGTCTGTGGATACAGCGAATCTGCTTTCGATTTCGTGCTCATGTTGTCAGCTACGCTTTCCCGAACGTCGTTACGAGGATCTGGCTCTGTGATGATGGTAGACGCCAGACTGACCGCGCTTGAGCCATTAGTAGACGCACTGTCGCCGCTGCTGGAGCTATCATGTGCGTCTGTCAGGTCTTGTTTGCTCGGAGTGCGCCTCAGGAACGATCCAGGTCTGCCGAAGAAGCCAGGCCGTGCCTGAGCCCTGTCGGCCGTCTCAGGTGACAACGTGGTGGTGCTTGCATTGTGCGTGTGATTTGTGACGGGCTTGCTGGGAGTGGAAGCGTGTCCAGGAGCCCAGAGTCGTCCCAAGAAACCAGATGCTGCAGCCTGCACAGTGGGCAAGAAGCCAGCACTCTGGCCGACAGCTTCGGCGGACTGCTTCTCAAACTCTTTCTCCAACTCCGCCAGCCGCGCGTGGGTAACGATGTCTCCGAGAGAGGTGAAGTCGTCTACCAGCTCGTCCGCGTCACCGCCATAGCAGTCCCACATCTCACGTCCCAGCAAGAGGCTCATGACTTCCTCGAATTCCTCCGTGGCAAGCATTCGCTCCTCGTGTCGCCTCATCAGAGCAAGCGCCACTCTCATAACGGTCTCGTTGGCGCCCTCGGCGAAAATGACGTCGTAAATGCGGAAAAGCATGCTCAGCGGACAGGACACGGCAAAGCATGACAAGAACCATTGGGACAAGTACGCTGGCTCGATGCCATGCTTGGCCAGGTGTTCTTGGAGTTTGGGGTGATGCTGTTTCAGAAGAGCGGAGAACTGGTAAATGCGCATATGCAAGCCCGAAAGAGAGGGCAGGAACGAGGCACGCAGTGAGAAGTGGTCCATGAGTCTAAAGTGAAATTAGTGAAGCCCGGACGCGTGCAACCATGCGGACACACTCACCGAACAAGCACACAGAATGCATCCCGCTCGCCCATATTCATGAGCAGCGGTCCTACCAGAAAGCCTAGGCCCTGGCAATAGCCAATGTCCTTGTCGTGAAGCGAGAAGCACTTCAACACTCGCCCTAGCATCTTCTGGCCTTCGCCATCTGCGTCGCGGAATAGTTCGACTCCGGGAAAGCTGCGGCCCACGTCTTTATTGATGATGCCTTCGTAGGAGCTCTTCTCGTGCAAAAGCCGCTCGTAGGCGTCTTCCAGGTCACGGTCTCTGGCGCCTGCCATGGACGACCATACCACGCCTCGCAACGGTGGTGGTACGCCCGATCTGATCTTCGATGTGGTTAATGTGGGCAGGCGGGCAGCAGTGCTCGGGTAGTCCTGCACGAGTGCGACCCAGAACTCCAGCTCCGTCATGGGTGGTGTTTCTTGAGGCGAAGGCGGAAACCCAGTATCGGACGCGAGGCTATATCGGATTGAAGGTGCATCGCTCGCAGACACGAGCTTCTTCAGCTGCGCCATGCTTGGAGGGCGACTGTAGGCTCGCGTCTTCCGGCGTATAGGCTTGCTCGCGGAAGCCTTGGGGTCTGCTGCGAACTTTGCGTTCTCCTGCTCGAGTCGCGCCAGCAGGAATGCGGTTGCATCGTCCTCGGCACCCTCCTGTGTCGCTTTGTCCTCTTTCTCCTGCTCTTCATTCTTGTCAAGTTTTTGCCAATCCACCTGCACACTCCCTGAGCTGTCAGAGTCGCGCGTGCCAATGCTGCTGGTCCTGCTCATCGGCGTCACCGGGGTGAGGGAGGGCTGGTCCAGCATGTCGATGGTGTCAATGGTGGCATTGCTCGCTCGACGTGCCACGGGTTGCTCCTGCTGGTGCTCCCTCTGCTGCCAGCCCTGCAGGTCTTTGTCTGTCTGGCCGAGCTCGATGGCAGACATGGGCGGAGCGGCGGCAGAGTCGTCGTCCTTGTCGGTGTCAAAGAGCGTGCTGGGCCTGTCTAGGTCGGCAAACTTGTTCTGCAGGATGTCGAGGCTGCTAACTTTGCGCAGGTGTCGGCGAGAGCCATTGACTCTTGGCGTGGCCAGCACGTCGTCGATGGTGTCGGTGCTCAGGTTGTTCCAGTCCATGCTGGTGTCAGACAGGGCGAAGCTAGCCATGGAGTCGCGCGTCGGATCATGGGGCGTCGTCGGCGTTCGCGGGCCCGTGGGCGTCTCGGGCTGAGGAGAAGTTGACAAAGCACGATCGTCCAGGGGCTCGTGGTGCAGCGTGACGGTCTCGATGAAGACGGGTTTGGCGAGCTCCTGGGTTGGCGTGGACACGCTGTCGCTGTCAATGCTGCTGGCTATCGACACGGTGATGCTGTGCGGGCTGCCTGGCCGGCTGTGCTCGTCGATGTCACTCTCTCCCTCGTCCGAATCCCTCCCCTCCTGCTGCTCCTGATTGTCCTGCACATCCTGCTTGGGAGGTGCTATTGTTGCTGCAAGTGTTGGTCCAGCCGTTGCAAGCGCAGCCTCCTGCTCATCTCCGGCGGCGGTGGTGGGCACGGCGGGCACCTTTTCCGCTGGCCCCGTTGCGCTCTCCATCCTCCTCCTCGCTGATGGAGGGCGTGTTGAGTTCGCTGGCTGTTCTCTTTTCCGCTATCCTCCTCCGATCTCCTCTGTGTATGGGTGTGAGCTCTGGACCAGCAGAGCCCCGTGCCGCGTGCAAGGATGTGGTTCGCGCTATGTGATTAGCAGGCGTATGTCGATAATGCAATATCAATGGCCCTCCCCGCCGTCTGCTTCAATGCCGCCGGCTGTGCACGAACAAAGAACGAAGGAAAGGTGGAATGAGTGGGTTGGTGCAGCGGCCGAATGAATGGAGACCGTCTACACGCACACGCGTTGGCGAAACACAGAGCACGAAGCAGAGGAGGGTGGAGCGGCGGTGGTGGTGAAACACAGGTCAATCACAGGCCCGCGCCAAAACGAGTGGTCGGTGGTCGCTGGAGCCCCTGGAAGCTTAACAGTCGCCTAGTTAGTGCGCGCAACATCTTCATCTCCTGCGCGACAATCATCCCTCCGCGTGCCGTCTTGTACAACACAGCAGCAGAACGTGTGGCGCGCTGCTCTCCTCGGCGCCGTGGTCCGCTTCACGCGTGCAGCCACTACATGTACAAACACGCTCAGGAGAGCACTCCGCTCGCTGCCTGTTTGGGCGACACGGCAAATGGCGAGCGGCGGCAGCGTCGACCCTGGTCCCCGCGAGACTTGCCAAACTCCTGCACGTCGGAAAGTCAGAGCCTCCTTCTCGCCCACTCATCCTCAGAACAATCATGCACTCACCTGAGCAGAACAACGCCCGTCTCCCATGTGGTCTGACGTACTGTACGCCTTTGCAGCGATATGAACAGCCCACGTCAGCCACGGGTTCCGAAGCCATGGCCATATAACAGAGCACACTTCCAAAACACTCATCTGCACAGCCCATCATGATTCAACTCGGCCTGCAAGAAGAATGGCTCTCGAATGCCGTCGTCCCGCTCGCTCACCTGCGGGACTGCTTTTCCATATTGTACGCAGCTGGCGTGCTGGTCGTCAAGGATACCATCGCCTCGGCAATAGTGCCAACCACCAACGCACACCTCCAGCATTGACCGAATTGGGAGACGCACGAGCTTCGTGGAGCAGCACCTTTCAATTCATCCTCTTCTAACATATCGTCACCACTTTTGACAATCGTCTGTGAATCTAGAAGCAAGCACGCGGCTTACGAGAGATCGAGACCAGGACCTCATCACTGCAGCTAACAAACTTCCGGACAAATCTCGCTCTGAAATCTCGACATCATCGCTGGAGAGACGTCCTTCTCGTGCTGTGCTTGACCATGCCTGGCTGGGGGAATCCTGACAGACGGCGACTGAAAGGCTTTGGATGAGCGGCCCGACAGCAGCGTCAGGTCAGCTTCCATTTACCATCGCGCTGTTGTTCGAGCTTTGCAAGTCTATTTCGCTCGCACTAACAGCTTTGCAATAGGGCAAATATGCCCCATGAACCGCACCGCTGGACGATCATACTCGTTCCTGGCGCCTGGCATGTTGACTTTCACTGCCAGCCACCGATCCCATTCTTCAAGGATGCCGGTTACGACATTGTACCTCTCCCACTGGCAGCGGCAGGAGACAGCAACAGCACACTAGAGCAAAATATCTCAAAGATCTCACAAGCGATCACGACACAACTGGAGCGTCCACATCAGCACGTTGCGGTCATCTTCCACTCAGCTTCCGGCTTCCTCGGCACAGAAGCAGTCAATCGCGCACTCGTCACACACCATTCAGCGACTGAACGTGTTCGCATCATCTACCTCGCCTCAGTCCTCGATTGGACGCCCATCGTAGCCCACCTGGCCCAAGGCGGTTTTCTACGTCTCGACCTGGACGCTGGCTACTTCTGGTGCGACGACGGCTACAAGCTATACGACGATATGAGCAGAGAAGACGCACGACCATTTGTCGAAGCCCTCACATTTCAGAGAGTCATCGATACGCCAGTTCTTAGCTCTGAAGCTTGGCGGAAATGTGATTTGACCCACGTAGTGACTACCAAAGACAAAGCAAATCCGCTGGAGTGGCAAATCAAAATGGCAAAGGATTATGGAATGAGAATCGCGAAGATGGAGACTTCGCACTGCCCGTTCATCAGTGCTCCGGAGTATTTTGTACGGACTATTGATGGGGTGCTGAGGGAAGGGTCAACGTCAACACCAGTGCCATGAGTCAGCTGCGACAGTCTATTCAAATAAGAAGCCGCTGCAAGCTTGTCACCGACTTGGCGCATTCATTTATGGAATCCTGCAATGCGAGACCGAATTTGTCGCAAAGTGGTTTTCATCAACACGTTCAAGATATGCATTAGGCTGTGTCTATGTGTACATACTATCATCGCAACACCGCGTCGTTCGTGACTCCGTTCAGTGTCACTCACTGCTCCTTCTTCTTTCCCTTCTTCTTGTTCTTCTTCTTCTTGCCCACGGCGGCCTTGCCTTGCCCGCCTGCTCCTCCACCAATAACAGCCAGTAGTGCACCAAACGCGCCTAGTCCAAGTGTGATCAGATCGGCCACATGCACAGCCCACCAAATGTGCTGCACACCAGCCTGGCAACTCTCGTACTCAAACTTCCACTCCTGCTTCTCCTGGTCCCACCATGCACTCAGCAGGCCCGCATTCCCGCCGAATTCGCCCATCATGCTCCTCACTGTGACCTCTCGCACGCCTGTCAGATTCGCATTCTTCATCCGACTTTTCCTGGCATCCGGATATTTCTGAATCATCCATTTCTCAGGCACATAAGGCGGCGGGCGTGGAGGTTCATCCCGAGCTTCACGGGGTTTGCGTTCTGGTCGAGAGTCTGCTTCGCCATCGTCGTGCTCGTTCTCATCGTCCTCGTAGTCCAACCTCGGTTGTGGTTCAGGCGGAGGCGGAATGTCCTCGATAATGGTCCGCGAATGGTACGTATCGCACCCTGCATGATCGTGGCCATTGAGAATGATAGATTTCCTAGTGCGTTCAGGTCCTACAATGCCCTCCAAAAGTCTGGTGCTGACGGCCTCACTGAGGTGGTTTTGCTCTTTGATACCACCGGAGAAGAACGAGCCGTGCTCTTGAGGGAAGTAGTCGAAGAATGGCCCGTCTGTGCAGATCCCAGCTGGTTTGTAGAGAGGGATGTGAGTGAGGAGGATTGTGCCAGCTGTGGGGTCTTGCGGAATCTCCCAGTAGAGCCGTTGATTCAGATGATTGTTGCTGTCTAGATGAAGATCATAATTGGACACGGGCGCGTCGAGGTTCATGGAGTTGAGGATCATGAGTCGCAGATTGGGAGTGGAGGGTTTTCCGGTTGTGGTGTCCACGGTAGAGGTATCGTTGAGGAAGAAGGGAATTTCGTAGTTGACACGACCGAAGGCTTTCTCGAAACGCTCGATGCGCTCGAAATCGATATCGCCGGCATATCCAATGTCGTGATTACCTGCCACGGTGATGATTCTGTTCTTCCAGCTCTTATCCTTGCCCAGCGCTTCTGCGGGAGTGTCTTTGAATTCTGCAACATGGCTAGGCACTTTCACCGCGCCTGTGAAGACTGTATTCCAAAATCGTTCTGCTCTTCGTCCAAACTCGGCATCGTCTATCCATTGACTGCCCAGCAAATCTCCCAGCACCACGACGTGGGTCGGGTCTGTATCCCTTTTGATAGTCCTGTAGATATGCGCCAAATAACGATCATTGCCCCAAAGATCCAACTTCTTATGATATGTTCTAAATGCTCTCGGCAAATCCTCATGCCATAGTCTCCTGCTCTCGCTGCTCAAACTGGTCGTGGTCTGTCCGAGGCCATGCTTCTGGATACTGTCGATAACGCGTCGTATGCTGGGGAAGAGTTCTGTGTGTCCATGATCAGGCAGACTGGTATCGCCCTCCAACTGCGGATCACCGAATGCGAGAAGTCGAAAGGGCGCTGGCTGGCCGGTGCTGGTGTTGCTGGGAAAGCTGCATTGGTGAACAATGGGATAGAAGTAAAGGTATAATGTTGCGATCAAGGTAGGAAGCAGAAGCAAGCGGTGCACGCGAAGGAAAAGAGCGGACATTGAAACGGCATTCTTGTCATGGTCACAAGAAGCGCCTCAGCTGCGGGAGTCTGGTCTTTTGGTATCGGCGGGCATGGTTCAGGGGGATGGATCGCGCTTTGCGGCTTGCCGAAAAATAGTGCCTGCGCCTGGCCTGAGGCAGGAGTTTCGGAGCCGGCGGGCAGGCGCGAGAGATGGTTATGCTTTACACTTCACTTGTTCATCCTTCATCTTCTCGCCATGCGCAGACCACCACTTCCATCGTGACGCAAGAAGGGAATGCCTCAGAGGATGAAGGTCGCATCTCAAGCAAACTTGGGTCGGCACGACATCTTGCAGGCCCTTCCTACACTGCATACAGATCGGTTTTTGACTCCAAGACATTGAACGGCTCCCGAGATTGCTGCTGCGGCTCTATCATCATCAAATCAACACCAAATGGATGACGGAGATCGAGTTTCCCGAGCAGCAGTAATGCACGAGGAGCGAGGCTTGGATAATCGCGATGTGCTTCGATGTGCCCGTCCGGCGGCACATCTCTCTCCCCGATGATGCCGAACCAGCTTTTTGGCACTGCCCCAACAAAGATTCGCCGTGGTAAAGGACGACCAGCCCCTTGTGTTCTGAGTGCGAGCTTATATATACCGACCGCCGCACGGCAGAGACATCACCACATTTCGTTTTCATTTTCGTCTCGCATTCTCACCACAGTCACTCATTTGAATTGTGCTCACAATGAAGACCGGCAGTCTCTTTGCTTTCTTCGCGCTATGCGCTTCTCTCGTTTTCGCGCTTCCTTTGGGCGTTTCAGAGAATGTCGAAACTGGCTACAATAGTGAGTTCCGCAAGGCTACATGAGGCTTCTCTCCGCCATCCATTCTGCTGACCCGCTATCACAATGGTACAGTCAAGTTGAGAGTCAGAAGCGCACGAGCTGTGGACGAGGTCGTGCCAGACCACGCGAAGCCAGCCGCGTTCAAGCCTTCGATCGAAACTCCACGTAAGTGCTTTCCCATTAGAAGATGTCCTCACTGCAGCCTAGGGCATAATTGATTGAGCCTCAGAGCTCGAAACTGTGCTCCGTTGAGACTGATAGAGGGATCTATCGAATTGCCAGTAGGGACGTTACATACTGACGGAACTTTCCCAGGTACGCGTCCTGTACCTGAACTCCTATCTACATTTCCAGATCCGGCTGAAACCTCTCCATCCAAGCGCCAGTTGGGTATCCTCGCTAGTGAGTTATGACGACTGAACGATTTCATGTGCCGGCAAGATCTGAACCCAAAAACCTTACCAGGCTCGGGAGAGGTCATTGATCAAGCGACTGCGCCGCTCGCGAGTGAAGACGGCAAAAAGTTCATCGACCTGAACATGCCTCAGCCAAATTGAGCAAACATCCAAGATTTGAAATAGCGATGAGTAGAGCGCGCTCAAGTCGCTGGGACGGCTTATGACGCGATGGAGGGTTCAGTATGGGACAACCGAAAGCCACAGCAGGCGAAAAGCAAAGCAGCAGTATTACGCATGCGGTATAGAAGCTTGGAGTTGTAGGATAAGACGGGGACGAAGTTCGGCATGTACAGGAAGCATTGTAGCAGGGACTAATCAATTGCTAACCATATCCTTGGACGAACATAGCGTCGAGAAGTCGAATTTTGAACAGACTGCTTCTCTAGAAGCTCAGCTCTGTACAATTGATCCCTTGCAAGAGGCCTTCGTCCACATTCCCGCATCGAAACGAATTCTTCGCTCCAGCTGGCGACACAACATCTACATCTGCCAAGCTAATATTGCTGCACACATTCGGCGAGCTGCAAACCACATATCCGCTGTATGGGTTGTATTTCTTGCTTGTCTTTCCATGTATGCCACTGATGTCAATCCCAGAGATGGTGAGATTGCTTGGGAAAGCATTGCACAGTGTCAGGTTCTTCTGGCCATAGCATTGTGTAACCTCAACGGCGTAGTCGACGTTCTCGATGTACATGTCTTTGTAGGTGACTCTGTTGACACGACCGAGACCTCCGCCGCCTTGTAGGTCAACAGACATGGCTGCGGAAGCACCTGGCCAGACTTTGATTCGAGCTCCGTCCGATGCGTTGTACATGCTGATATTGACGACCATGATGTCTTCCACGATATCAACTTCTCCAGGATACTGGCCAAGAGAGCCGACTGAGATGCCGTGAGAGCCATTGCAGTACAGGTTTTGGACCAGGACCTCGGTGCTGTTGGGTTTAAAGGACACGCAATCGTCTCCGTTATTGATAACCGAGTTCTGGATAACGACGTTAGAAGAGCGGTACCTGGCCAAATGTTAGCTGCTTGAAAAATTCGACATGATGACTCTGACTTACGTATCCCATCCATCGGTATTCTTCGCTTCGTGCGAGCTCTGACTATACCCGCTGATCGTGAGGCCATCAAAGACGACATCCGTGCTGTTCGCCACGAAATTGTACCACTGCGGAGAATACCGCAAATTGAGATTCGAGATGATGCCGGAGTTCAGTCCGACGGTGCCGAAGATGATCGGTCTGAGGATCAGAGGATCTGCTGCGTATAGATCGTACCAGACCTGGCCGTTGCCATCGAGCATGCCGCCACCATAGACGAAAACATCACGACCTCCGAGTTCGAAGAATGTGGTTGCATTCTGGAAGACTTGCTTGAAGGATTGTGCTTGCCAGTAGTCGGTGTCATTGGTGAACTGTATGTAGCCTTGGATATCTAATGGCATGCAACAGTCAGTATAAACGGAGTCTGTCAGCAGAGAGATGGGAACACACCTAGATCGACTTGATCCAAGAATGTCAAGTCCAACGCCTGCCCGATGACGTATGTCGTTCCTTGGGGAAACACCACATGTCCTCCGTGGTTGCACTTTTTCAGCGCGTCAAGAATGTATGTTGAATCATCCGTCTTCAGATCGTCGTGACTCTTGACATAGCAAGTCTTTGTTCTTTTGCCAGCGCTCGGCAGAGGTCGGTAAGGCTGCACGCTATCGAAGCTGATCTTCGGTCGTGGGCTTGGGCTTGGTCTCTTGGAAAGCTTCTTTGGCAGGCTATCGAGGTACTCCTTGTACGCTGTCCAGGTTGCGGTAACGCTCAGTGCTTGCAGCACCAGGAGCAGAGTCTTCGGCAACATGCTGATCGCGAAAATGCGAAAGGTGAAGTTGGAGCGGCATCCAGAGGAGTCGGCATTGTGAGCCTCTCATATACTGCCCGGCTCGCTCTAGACCTGCTGAATGCTTGAGCTACCCCGTGGCCTGTACGACACTGAGACTGCAGAAGAAGACCCATATTGCCCCCAAAAGCGCGAGGGGTAGTGGCAATTTGGGGGCTGCCGCTTGGCTCTCATTGGTGGGCAAATCTGCGAATCTGGACGACCTGGAATTCACGGCACGTCTTCACAACAATCGCACCTCTTTCGGCTTCACCAGGATGGTCGTGCAGGCGCACAGGATTCAAGCTGCATCTCTCCGCATCACAGGTCGTCGCCACGAGGCTACTAAACGACCACGTCCCGCGTGCGCGGAATGCTGGTCTTGCGCTTCAGTGTCCTTCAGGAGGTGAGCCAGCGAGAGCACATACGCATGGTGCGGCAGCTTTAGACAAGCGACTGCGAGCACGGCTGCAAAAAGCCCGTGCCGTGATTATGAATCTTCCAGGCCGAAAAGGCACGAACTCTGCAGAACAGCCAGGACAGAGTTGCCGGGCTTAGGTCCTCACGCACGCCTGGTAACAAACACTCTTGTCAGAAACGTCAGAGACCATTGCGCTTGGACTTGGGAGGCTCTATACCATCTATCGATCTGATACGGTTTCTATGTGGACTGCAGCTCCACCCTTGTCGACAGTGGAGTCGCCACGCTCCACCTTGCCAGCGTGGATCATGTCTTGAACATCGTGCCGGATCTTTTCTTCCTCCGTTGGATAAGCATGGCGCCACATGGTGTACAGAGGTCGCGCAAAGAGGTCGTCCATCGACTCTATTGAACGACCCTTCATCTCCGGGAGGCAGAAGAATATGAACACCACTCCGCCGTAAGTCAACATGGAGTAGAGAAGGAACGTTCCCCTGCACAGCTTGTCAGTCTATCTGCTCAAACATGCTTGCAGAAGGAGTCACTCACCAGCCCATCTCGGACAGCATCACTGGAGTCGCCTTGGTGATGCCATAGTCCACTATCCAGTTGATGAAGAAGCAGAAGGACATGCAGAAAGATCTGATTCGCGTCGGGAATATCTCCGCTGCAACGACGTAGCATGCGACAGAGTGGCCGAAACTCCAGCCAAATGCATAGATGTAGATGAAAACTATTCCGACAATACCACCTGCCGGCGTGCCTCCGACCGCGTCTTCACTGGCGTTGCCACCTGCGTACTTTATGTACAATGCCAGGTACAACATTGCAGTGGCCTGAAGACTTGCACCTATCAGGAGCGGCAGTCGGCGACCGATGCGACTGATTGAATATCAGTATTACGTGAACTATATTTGCGACGGTTGTACGACTTACTCGACAAGATATGCCACATAAAAGATCGTAGTAACGAACTTCACAATGCCGTACACACCCTGGAGACCGGTGAGCTACTCGTTAAATGACCATTATACGGCGCACGACTTACGGTGGTAAGCAATGTATTGCTGTTGCCCTTTACCCCAATGAGCTTGAATATGGAAGGAGCATAATCTAGAGTCAGGAACCACTGCATCAGCGAATACTCTCTCCAAAATCTCAACGTGTCCAAGGCAAGGAGTGTTCCGATACGTACAGTTCAAACTGTCTGTTCCGGTGAACTTGTGGAAAAGGAACAGCATCACTGCAAGAAAAAATCGTTGAAAGTTGCTCTTGTTCCCGAATACGTCCTGAATGATCGTCCAGACGTTGTGTCCTTGGTGTGCCTGGAAGATGTCAGCTTCACGATAAAGAGCCAGACCATGGACGAGTGCAGGATACCGCTTGCTCGAAGCGCACTTGTGCTTCAATCTCCTGGTATTCCGTCTGGATATATGGATGATTTGCAGGCAGCTTCCGCAAAGCCATCAAGTTTTTCAGCCCTTGTTCAGACTTCCCGCGGTTGATCAAGTAGCGAGGTGTTTCTGGAATGAACGGGATCATAAGACACATGAGAGCTCCCGGAATCAGCTGGATCCCCATTGCGAGCCTCCACTGTGTATGGTTATGCTCGGCATTGTGCCAAAGTGACACACAATAATTGACCCAGAACGCTAAGGCAAGCGAGAACACGATCATGAGGTTGTACGTTGCCGTCATGGATCCACGGACGCTTTTTGGGGCGTTCTCTGCCAGAAATTGGGGACTTGCAAAGCTGGTCAGTGGCAGGCACAACGATATCTTAGGCACATTTTCGTGCATTTAAGATGCCTTCTAGCGACCAAACTTACCTCAACATCGAGCTGGCGCCAACGCCCATACCGCCGATGAATCGTCCGGCCAGGAGTGTGTCGTAGTCGGCGATCATTTGCATCACAGCACCGATGAGGAAGACTATGCCCCAAAGGAATACGGACCATTTGCGACCCAGGACATCGGATGTAGGCCAGGCGCAGAGCGCTCCAGCAGAGCCCTACAACGGAGATCAGTCTTGCTCCCCATGGTTGTAATGCTTGGCCAACTCACTCCTGCTGCAAGCATAGCAGCGATGGTTCCCTGAGCGAAAATCAGCGCAATTCTGAATGCAGGTACGACTGGAAATATACGCTTTTCGCATCAACCGCCTCTTGAGATAGCCCGCTGAGTCCGAACGCATTCTCAAACGAAGGGAGTGTGAGGATTCCGCCGATATTTCCCGAGTCGAAGCCATAGAAGCAGCCCGCCCACGCGAGAGTTACCAACAGGTAGAGGAGTCGGCCGTTGAAGATTGCCTTTGGATCAGTCCTGGCCTCTTTGCTGGCCCAGATGCTCGTTCCACCAGCCATCTTTTCGAGCACTCAAGCCAAGTCTTCGTGTGCTTGGGAGCCCGTGGCAGATGCGCCCAAGAAAAGCTTAGAGACCCCAAGGGCACCAGGCCAAGATATAAACACGCGGAACCACTCACTCCGCAACTCCAGATTACCCCACAACGTGTGTTAGGCGAGGTGTGGAGAGGCCTCCACGTGGTTTTTGTGTCGGAGAGGAGGTTCCGAGTACGTACGGCATGGACCGAGAAGCGGATTTGAGACAATCGACTCTCCCCCGGCCGGCTGAAGGTCGCCGAGCTCACTGTTCACACTGATCGATGCTGATCAAAGTGAAAGTTAACGTCGACCCTGGTTACCAACGTCCTCACTCAAGCTATCCGATAACTCAGTGTCGAGCACCTCTGCTTCATTGAACAGGCAACCAAGATGGCAGCAATCTTCGAGGAACCAGCACCCGATTTTGAGAACTTCGTTCTGACACCGAAGTCGCATCCCGTACAACACACAGAATGCTTCATTCCGGCAGCGACACCGCAATGTCATGCTTCCAATCTCTTGATCCTAGATAATGGCGAGATGCTCTGCGCTTGGTTTGGAGGCACACAAGAAGGCAAACCAGACATCAGCATTTATCTCTCTCGTCGATCAATAGGCTCAACATCCTGGACCAAAGCCAAGAAAGTCACATTCGATACCACGAGAAGTGAGCAGAATCCTGTTTTGTTCCAGACTCCATCTGGCGAGGTCTGGTTGCTGTACACATCCCAACACCTTGGTGATCAAGACTCCGCTTTCGTCAAGAAGCAAGTCTCGCTTGATAATGGCTATACATGGAGCGAGCCAGAGGCGCTCTTTACCGAACCTGGAACATTTATTCGACAGCCTGTCGTCATTCTCGAGAATGGCTCGTGGGTCGTGCCAACGTTCAGATGTCGCTCAGAACCAGGCGAGCGATGGGTCGGCAACGATGATATATCAGCCATCCGCGTCTCTCAGGATCAAGGCAAGACGTGGATCGAAAGAGAAGTGCCCAATAGCTTTGGTGCAGTACACATGGAGATCAAGCAACTCAAGGATAGAAGCTACCTTGCCCTATTCCGCAGTAGGTGGGCCGATTTTGTCTACAAAGCGACTTCTTCCAATGGTATCGATTGGTCTGAGCCAACGGCAACAACTCTCCCCAACCCAAACGCCGGAATCTGCTTCGATGTTCTGCCGTCAGGGCGAGTGCTTGCCGTCTACAATCACTCCTCCCGCCTCAATGCACAGGGTCGAAGAGAAGGACTGTACGACGATATCGCAGCTGCAGACGATGTTCGATCCAACCAAGCAAGCAAACATGCTGGCAAGGAGGCATTCTGGGGCGCACCAAGAGCTCCTTTGTGTCTCGGATGGAGTGATGATGACGGAAAATCGTGGAAACACAGGATTCTGGAGGAAGGTGATGGATACTGCATGACGAATAACAGTGAGCAGAAGCTGAATCGGGAGTTGAGCTATCCGAGTATGGTACTGGGAGAGGACGAGGTGGTGCATGTCGCTTTCACATTCTGGAGGCAAGGGATAAAATATGTACAGCTGAGTTCAGATGTGGTGAACAGCTTGTAGGTAAATCACTTAATGATGGATGGTTGATCATGGTCGCTCACGCTGCAATGCTGGTCACCAAGCAAGCACTGCTCCAGACTGAGCCATTTAGCTTCGTAAGCATCGCGGAAGGACAGGCGGATTCTGCAAAGGGTAACTTTTAACCAGCGGCCAACATAAAATCACCTGCAGCGAACTTGTGGCCTTCGCATTGTGACTCGTTTAGATCATTGTTTCGTCCGTTGCAGTGAGCCTACATGTGCCTATTGCCTGCGCACTGCTCGCCTTATCGCCGTCAAGGTAAAATCATAAGCCATTGCCAGACGTGGTCTACCTTTAAACAAACATTAAAGTGTGGCACCAAACCCAGACACGCATCGCTGGCGAACACCTCGCTGCGATTCACCTTCCGTCTATTAGACCATTACTCGTATCGCTCTTGCGCAAGAGACCTGAAGACGCGATTTTTGCACTTCAGCCTCTAAACAGGAGGAGCGCCGGACATCCCCCTCATGGCGCTCAATCGACTCCACCTCAGCTTGCTTGTTCTGAGCGCTTTCCAGGCGGATTCGAAGGGGCCCTGAGCGTTATGGAATTGGTCATGCTGATGAGGTGCAATGGTTGCTCGCGATTTACTATGTACCTGTATGCTCACATCGATGCCTTGACAAACGAACGCTCTTTGTGAAGAAACGCATGTCCATGCAAAGCTCTACTTCTTGTGATTGGGGTCGCCCGCTGTCGCGACGCCCGTGGTTCCCGGGTCAGCATCATCTCCTTCGCTCTCCTCATCTTCAAGCACTTGAATTTACCCCCGACAACTGAGTGAGAGTTCACAAGCGCTTCTGATCTCTTGCGCACAGCTTTGTTGAATGGCAACTTGTAGTCTTGGTAGTTTCTCGTGGCTGCAGTGAAGTGCATGTTCTTGAAGAAAAGATTGAGGTCAGTCAGAACACCTCGTTCCAGCATGATATGCTCGAAGTACTCGTTCACTCCGTTGGTGAGGGGAAACAGGGTGGTGCAGTCAGTCGGCTCAACCCGATATTGACTCGCAACATCGAAGAAGCCGTGAATCTTGCGTGAGCCGGTTCTGAGGTGATGGTTCCAGCCGGCGCCGCATTTACCGATTTCCTTTTCGAAAAAGAAATACATGGTGAAATGCAACATGACTTCGGGCCTTGCATCATTGCCTCCCAACACCTGTTTCGTCCGCCGTTGTTGCCCGTGGAGTTGAAGTGCCAATGAAAAGCGCATACCGGGTCTGGACAGTCGATGTGATAGGCAGCATTCGCAAGGCTCTTGGGTGGCTTGATGTAGTGGACCTGTACAAAACGATCTCTGCACTGCAGCCGTGTTCGAGACACAAAGCAGGAATGAGAATGTCTCTGCTGTATTGCTCGACCATCTCGTGGTGACTCTGTTCAAAGTCAAACCTGAATGCATACTGCATGAGGCAATCAGGCTGGTTTCCATAACCGCGGCAGTTTCCCACACGAGTGCATTGCGTCCGGGCGTTATTGATGTTCCTCAGCTCGTATAGAGCATGTAATGTGTTGATGCAGGAGGTCTGACTGTTCAAATGCGAATATTCTGGCTTGCCACTGACACTGAGCCTCGCAAGCATTTCGCCAGTAAGTCGTCCGAGCCAGACTTGAAGGACGAAATGGACCTGGAACTCGCCGTGGCAGGCGTTGCAACCGTCCCGTGGACATTTGTGGCCAAGTGGAAGCACGAAGACCTTGCCACTGATGCCGGCATAATCCGAGTACCTGACGTAGGGGTACAGGTCGCTCAGCGGCGAAAGAACGTATCCATCAAGGCAGCCGACTTCGTCAAGCCAATACTCGACAGCCTCACGTCGGAAAGGACCACGGTACCACAAGCGGCGAACGATTTCGAATGCCCGAAGCCCACACATGTACATGAAGTCGCGGTCGCCAAGCAACGCTATCTTGCACACTGTCTCTGGGTCTTTGTGTCGGTATGCGCTCATGTACTCTTCGGCGCGTTCAACCGCAGTCGCCCGCACCCGATTGTGAGTCGGGCCAAACGGGCATGTCGGATATGCAGTTTTTGTGGGTATGTTTCCATCGACGAGTGGGTTTGTCTGGCACATCCATGCAAGTTGGAGGACATCTGGCAAGTCTTTGAACCAATCTTGTTGCTGGAATGCACACACATATTTTTCCTCGTTGCAGTGCTTGCATATCTTGTCGCTGGACGAGAGGAGAGCTCTCATGCCGATCCAGTTGCGGAGAGCAAAATGGAAGCTCCAGAAATGCACAAGTTGCGAGATCTCTCGCAGACTTGCTCCCACAACTACATCGCTTGTCGAGACGGAGCGCCTTAGCTACGCTGCATAATGCAGAGATACGAGGATCGGAAGGGCACTCGACTTCCCCGGGCCGAGTAGTACGCAGTGTTCGTAGTTCCTGTTTCGCAAGGTCTCCAACTGATGCGGTATGGTTTAGTGCGATGTGGCACCGAACGCGATACAAGAAGGGATACCTCCGTATTTGGCAGCATCGGCTTTCAGCACATCGATCTGCTGTCGGAATTCATCGAACGACGAGGATGCGCCATTGGCTGAATATTGCTGGAACAGACCTCGGACGCCATTCGTGATGTAGGCGCACCGGCGGATCTGTTCAGCTGCACCAGGAGCCATTGAATGGATGTCGAGGTTGCGGAAGACAAGTGACGCTGTGTCCGAGCTGAGCACGGAGATTGATGAGAAGGGTGACGAATAAGTACCCGAGCACGAGAATTGCTGAGAAAGAAGTGAAGGGCTCGGAAATGAAGGCGGAGAGGTGGTGGTGTTGGTGGCATGTCGATTTCTGTAAATGTAAGCAGGCAGAAGTTTCGAAACGGAAGCCACTACGTGTCACTCACGCGTATTCTTCACCCTCTCTTTCTCTGATTCACGATCATGCCTGCGATGCCGCACGTCTCCCATGATGTCTGGACGCCTACACACATGGCCGCCGCATCTTGCCTTCAGTTCTTTCTCGTGAACTCCAGCATGTTACGATGGATCGCAAGACTACACCCATGGCGACCGCATCTTGTCTTCAGTTTTCTCCCGCATTCTCCAGCATGTTACGATGGATCGCAAGACCACACACCTGTCCCATGCTGCTCTTCTTTCTGCTTGTACTTGTCGTACTGTTATTCAAGCTGCCGAGCATGGTACGATGGATAGCAAGAGCACACGCATCTCGAACACTGCTCTGCTACTTTTGGCTCGTACTGATTTTGCTGCTCCTCGGGCTGCCGAGTATGCTACGATGGATAGCAAGACCACACGCATGCCGACCGCATCTGATCTACCGCATGGAGCAAGTGACAGTGAGTGTGGTGCAGTCGTGGAAAATATGCGTTGAACAGAGCGGCGACTATGTACTCACTGTCCCGAACGGCAACCACAAGGCGCCGTCACAAGGAACTCAATGCTTCCGATCAGGGCTGCTCGCTATTCTTCGCATCGCATTTCGTTGCCAAGTGACTTTCGGTGCTAGTGAGTGGCATTAGGCCACTTTGTTGCTTGTTCTTGAGAATTTGAGATTCTGTTGCGACAATTTGAGGCTCTGCCAATTCTTCCATCCTCTGCCTTCGATTCGCAAAAGCGGATCCTATATCTCCGAATCATTGAAGGCTCTCAGCTGTCCGGTTTGGCCTTGGGCAAGACTGCGCCGCAGAGCACTATTGGAAACACCATTATCTTCCGCCATTGGCTTTAGGCATGTAGTCTTCAATATAATCCCTGAAAGCCTGTTCCAGCTCCACATCCTCATCAAAACCCAGCTCTCTCGCTCTCGTGGTGTTGAAGTTGGCCGGCCATGATCCTACAATACTAGAAACCTTCTCGTCGTGTCTTTCTTGCACCAATTCCACAGCCTTCTCGCCACCCACAACGCGAAGACTATCCAGCATCTCCTCTATCGAGACCGTCTTCCCGGGCAAGTTGACAATTCGACTTGCTCCTTGGAACTTGGCTTCCGGAATGTCTTTCGCTTTTACCAGGTTCCGTATCACAGTCCGAGACGAACAGACCCAAGCTTTCAGATCTCTGCTTACAGGAAGTGTGCTCCTCTCTCCATTTAGCGGCTCGCGAATGATGCCGGAGAAGAAAGAAGAGGCAGCACCTGTAGGCTTTCCAGGCCGCACGATAATGGTCGGCAACCGCACAATCCGTGCGTCGAGCAGTCCGCGTCGAGAGAAATCATTTAGAAGAATTTCTGTGATGGACTTTTCTGCTCCGTATGAAGATTGTGGCAGAGGCATAGTATTCTCAGTCACGACTTCGTTCTCCTTGGCGGGCCCAAAAACAGCAAGACTGGAAGGAAAGACCACTCGAATCGGCTTAGAGCGTTGATCTTGTTGCTTGCGGATCGCATCTGTGATGAATCGCATAGAATCTATATTGACACGTAGTCCAAGTTCTAGATCTGCTTCGGCTTGGCCTGACATAATCCCGTGTAGCAAATAAATCGTGGTGACCTCGGGCGTGATCAGTCGCGAGCAGGTTTCCGGGTCAGTCAGGTCGGCCGCAAAGGTTGAAATATCAACGGGCGCGCTTTTGGTCGGAACCTTTGGCGGAAGCACGTCTGTCAGAATGAGCCTTCGAACGTTTTTATCTTCGAGGAGCGAAGTGGCAAGAGCTTGTCCGATGAACCCGCCGGCGCCAGTAATCAGTATATGTTCGGCCATTGTTCTTCTGTGACGGCAATATTGAGTGCGTGTAGCTGATTGTCGTTTATGGCGAGAGTTGAGAGCAATACTATATCTTGATTTCGTGATGACTTGGCGAATATACGTGTCGATAAATGGCCAGTTCGTTTTCGCATACTGACCAACTCCGGTACACATGACAAACCTCAGTCTGCTCCGATCCAGTCGCTGGAACCGGAGTAGTCAAGCCTGGGCACGCGAAACCACTTCCGACTCTAGCGCGGAGCCTCTTCCCGGTCACGGAAGTCACAGGTCCGCAGTCGAAATCCTCAATTGGGTGGAAAGTCTGCGCCTAATAGATGGGAAGGAAAGGCAAGGATATGGCGAGTTGAAGATGGGTCTTTCGCTTCATTACATAGCCTGCACTGCCAGTGGCTGATAGAGCTCTTCAAGGTGCGTCATGTCTGCCGCGGTTAACCTCACACTCAGGGCCTCAGAAGCGGCTTTGATGCGCGAGATACTGTTCAGTCCAACTATCGGACAGGCCCCCTTGTGTAAAAGCCATGACAGCGCCAGATCTGACATTGTGCAGCCCTTTTCTCTGGCCATTGCTTCAACTCTGTTGACAATACTTGAGTTTTGATCACCTTGAAACCACTTTTTGGTCTTCGCGTCTTTTGCACTTCGGTCCGTCTGTGCTGATTGCGGTCGACTCAACAAACCCCTTGCAAGTGGAGACCACGGAATGAGGCCGATCCCTTCTGCCTGACAGAAGTTTACCATTTCCCGCTCCTCTTCGCGGTAGAGCAGATTGTACAACCCAGACATACTGGTGAAGGTTGTCCAGTTGTTCATTTTCGCCGTGTACTGCAAGCGAGCGAATTGCCAGCAGTACATGCTCGAGGCACCGAGGTAGTGAATTTTGCCCATCTGCACGAGATCATGTAGGGCCCGCATGATCTCTTCGGGGCTTGTGTCCACATCGAGGCGATGAAGCTGTAAGACGTCGATGTAGGACGTGCCGAGCCGTCGCAGAGAGCCTTCCACCGCATCGAATATGTGCTTGCGGCTGAGTCCCATTTGATTGACGAGAGGTCCATCATTGAGTGCTGGCTGAGGCCGACGATTTGGCTCATCTTCAAGGACTGGATAATAGAGCTTTGTCATAATCACAACTTTGCTGCGTGGAATATCGTACTGCTTCAGAGCTTTGCCAATGATGATCTCCGACCACCCGTTTGAGTACGTGTTTGCGGTTTCCCAAGTGTTGATCCCAGAGTCGAACGCTTGCTTCAAGAGCGGTAGAGCGTCTTCCTCGGGCAGGACCCAAGGACTGCCTTCCCAGTCCGGATTACCAAATGTCATGCACCCCAGAATTAATCGCGAGACTTTGAGGCCACTGTTCCCCAGTCTTTGATACTGCATCGGCGGCGGTACATTCTCGCCATGCTCAGGTTTTGCCCAATCTGCTACCAGATCTCGAAGTGTGTCCCGCTCACCAACGTTTCCAGGAAAGACGACGTACGGAATGTCGGGGAATTTGCATGTCTTCTCGGCGCATTGCCAAAGAGGCACTCCAGGCGCAGCTTGACCACAGATTTTGGCGCGCTTGAACATGAGACCAGCAGTGGCGGCATCGGAGCTGGTAATGCCACCTTTAGCGATTATGTACCGTGGTCGTGGGATCAAGAAGCGGAGGAAGGACACAAGAGCTGCTGCGACAACATTGCCTATCTTCAAGCTGGAAAGTTCATCACTGCCAGTGATGAGCTTGCGGCTGGTCATGAGAAGCACATCTTGGCCGCGAGAGATATGATCACCGGCTTTGTTGGCGGCGGCGAGCACAACAGCAGAGGTTGACTCAGACTCATGTAGCAGTGCGGCGGCATCGAGCTCTATGGTGATCAATCTGGCACCTCGGCCTTGAATCAGAGACTCGAGCTGCTCCGTAGTCTTGGGCACGTAAGAACCAGTCATGATCAGGCCGCCGGGCGCCGATGGTGACAGATCCATGTTGAGCTCGCATGGCTTCAGTGGCAATATTTGCTGAATACCGAGGCGTGATGACACAAACGCAGCGCCGGTGCGATAGATGAATGTCTTCCCGGTTGCGCGAGCGCGGATCAGTCCTGCCACAAATATGTCGAGGTCGGCAGTGACCACAGCATTGACGATGACGACTGAGCGCCGCCCGACTGACAGTAATTTGGCCTCCACCGCATCAGCTCCTCCTACCCGAATGTCGTGAAGCGAAATGGAGTGAATTCGCTCTGCCGATATCGCGCCCTTGGACTTTTCTCGAATGTACTCTCGCAAGTTGGACTGCGTATACCCAAAAGTCGCATCCCTGGCAAAGGGCGTCTGCGCGGCAGGAACGAGCTGTCCATCCGGGCTGGCGACATAATGCACATCATCAATGGTCAAGCGGCCACCCTGCTCGAAGAATGGCGCGAGAATCCAGACATCTGCTTCGCCGAGCACTTCCTCTGCGGCTTCAGGTTCGTCCGGAAAGTGGCCTCGCAATGTCGAATCGCCTCTCAAGACGACCTCAAACTCCTTTGCGGCGCTGGCGGCGGCATTCTTGACGGCCTGGCATATTTCTCGGATGAGCTGACGCGCTTTGATGGGCGGCAGAGCGCGTGAATTCGAGAGGATAAAGAAGCCGGCGCAGTGGGACTGGAACTCGCGGCGGAGGGTGTTCTCATCCCAGACGGTCAACACGTTGACATTGTGACAGGTTTGAGTGCCGGTGGGGTCATCATCGACGACTACAACGACCGGCTGTTGTGATGGCACTCGTGTCGAGGTTGCCGATGCTGGCCGCGGCGGGAGACGAGCCAACACTTCTGCTTTGGACACAGCACGAACTTCCTCCTGTACACTCATCTCGATATCGCCCATTGTCGCAGTCTATTGCCCTCATACTACACACAGCTACAGCGTCATGATGTATGCTCTGCACATCCGCCATTCTCGTTGCTGCGAGATCCCCATCGCTGCGTTGCCGACGCGAGCAGGATCCACCGGAAAGAGCCCTCCGGTATGCGGCATGCCTCCGACCGACGATGCACAACAATTCGACCGCTGCGTCCAGAGCTGTGACCTTTCGACATCGGCTTTTGGCCCAGAGCCCGTATGATGCCACGAGCAAAATGTAACAGCAGTGTAAAAACGACAGTCAGGTAGGCAAGAGGTTACATTTCATCAGTCCTTCACTCGAGCACTTTCCGCATCCCACATTTCCGCCCACTATACCAGCTTCTCGCAGCAGCCATGAGCAGGTCTACGATATCCTACGAGGATGTTCGCGAAGGAAAGAGCGGAGGAATCAACCCAGACACCAGCACCATCGCCCCACGGGAAGAGCAATCCCTCGAACGAGTCCATCAACTGTTACCAGAAGCTGGCGAGAAACCAGACCTCTACAGCTTGATCTCTGTGCACGACTTCGAAGATGTCGCTCGGAACGCTTTAGCGCCCAAAACATGGGCCTTCTACTCGTCTGCAGCTACCGATCTTGTCTCACATCAGGCCAATCTCATGTGCCATCGAAGGTTGTTGCTGCGCCCACGCGTCCTTCGCGATGTAAGGCAGGTGAAGACGAAGCGCAAGATCCTTGGCCACGAGTCCAGCATACCAGTGTTCTTCAGTCCAGCTGCGATTGCCAAATTAGCGCATCCTGAGGGCGAGATCGCTGTAGCGAGAGCCTGTGGTAATCAAGGGATTGTCCAGATTGTATGTCGTGAACACAATCCGCCATCTTGAATGATGCTAACAGAGGCGTTGTAGGTATCAAGCAACGCTTCCTACCCCCTCGCCGACATCGTCTCCGCAGGCTCACCCGACCAACACTTTTGGCTGCAACTGTATGTCAACTCTGAACGACACAAGACCGAGCAACTGCTGCACCACGCTCGAGAACTTGGCGTCAAAGCTGTCGTGGTCACCGTCGATGCTCCTGTCCCAGGCAAGCGCGAAGCGGATGAGCGGATAGCAGCAGAGAATGTTGCGGCAGCTATCAGTGGTGCAATGGCTACGAATGACAAGAAAGGAGGAGGTCTGGGTCGAGTGATGGCAAAATACATTGATGCGTCGCTGAACTGGGAGGATCTCGCTTGGATAAGGCGAGTCTCTGGACTCCCGGTTGTCTTGAAAGGCATTCAGACTGCGAGCGATGCACAGAGAGCAGCGGACTATGGCGTGGAGGCAATCTTGCTCAGCAATCACGGCGGGAGATCTCTCGACACGACACAACCTGCGTTGGTGACCCTGCTTGAGATGCACAAGTGTTGTCCGGACGTGTTCCAGAAATTGGAGGTCTACGTCGATGGGGGCTTCACTCGCGGCACAGACGTTCTCAAGGCTGTAGCACTGGGTGCCACGGCTGTTGGGATCGGGAGGCCATGGCTATATAGCTTGTGCTACGGACAGGAGGGTGTGGAACACCTGATCGATATCGTGAAAGACGAGCTCGAGACGTCGATGAAGCTAAGTGGCATCACGGACATCGATGAGGCTTCTCCGGGCATGGTGAATACATCGATGCTGGAGCCTTTGATCCGTGAATCGGACAGCCATCCTTGGATCAAATGGAAGCCGATCGCGAGGTTGTAGATGTAGTGATTAATGCTTCTTATCCATAGAATTGATCGTGATAGAGTAACGAATGAGAGGATCTTTCGGAATTTGACATGTTTCTCTACAGTAAACCCAATAACTTAGAGCAGGCAGGAGTGTGTGGCTGAAGTTCGGCAGAACACCTCCGCACTTCTCTCCACTTCCAAGCATAGATTTTGAATCCTGAATATTCAATTCAACTCGGCTAAATTCAAATTCAATTCAGAAACTAAATTGAACATTCAAATTCAATTCAATATATTCAGCTTATAAATCAGTCTCCTATGACGTATTCTCGGTTTACGACGACGATATCGAGGTAAAGAGTAGTCTATAGGCAGAGTAATATACGTACTAAGCTCCTAACGATAAGAGCCCGGATAAGAGCCCTAGTACTAGAGAAGTAGCAAAGCAGAGCGGAGAAGGGACTATAGAGCAGAGCGGAGAGCGACTATAGCAGGGTATCGCTAAGCCTAGCCTCCGAGTACACCGCCGAGAGCACTATTTTTAGTACAAGCTTTGAATTGAATTTGAATTTGAACATTCAAAAAGCCG